TGTACTGTCCATGCATACACCTTACCGTATATTTCTACTGCATCGTCTGTGCATACACCCTACCCTATATATCTACTGTACTGTCCATGCATACACCTTACCGTATATTTCTACTGCATCTACCGTATATATCTACTTTACTGTCCATACATACACCATACCGTATCTATCTAATGTACCGTCCATGCATACACCTTATCGTATATAACCACATACTGTACATGCTACTGTGCGTATTCTCTCCATCGCATTCTCTCCACTGCATTCTCTGCTGATATGAATACGACCTACCCTATGTACATGATACCGTAGTTATGAATACAAACAGTCGCCCAAGTATACGCTCTACCGTTGCTATGATGCACCACAGTCTACGCATAAGCTCTACCGAATATTTACCACTACTCTCTCTATGTCGAAACTGATAAAAACCCAAAATATGAAACCAAACAAACAAACAAGATCCCAATAGATATTTACATAGCTGCAAAAATTATACAATGCTTGCATAGTTGCACCAACAAACAACGTTTGACATGAAAACATTGGGCTTGGGCAAAGGCTCAGAATAGGCACATGTGTGAAGACAGGTCACAATGATATCCAGAGCTGTAATGTGAAAGCAAATTATTGCATTTGTTCACTTACGTCAGTTGTCTTCTCGCGAGTGCGACCTCCCAGTCTAACAGTGATTCATGAACACTATATTTGATATAGCCAGAATCGTACAGAGGATCCTGCTTTCAGTAACACTGTCTTTGCTTCCATGCAGTGTGCGAAATAGTTTCCAAATTGTGCTAGCCAGTCGGACAAGCTATACCTGTAAGTTAATAGCCCACAAACTAATTCACTTGGCCAAATTTGAATGTAGAAACTAAGCAAAAGATTACAAAAATAGATGATAATAAGAACTGAGGTTGGTTTTACGCCGCTTTTAGCAATATTCCAGCAACATCACGGCGGGGGACACCAGAAATGGGCTTCACACATTGTACCCATGTGGGGATTCGAACCCGGGTCTTCGGCGTGACGAGCCAACACTTTAACCACTAGGCTACCCCACCGCCCCTAATAATACGAAATTGTCGGCATGACACGGGTTTCATCATTAAGCTGCTCATATGATGTTCATTTTTATCAGGCCATAATCTTACATGATTTGAAAGTGTATTAACTTAAATTTTTCAACTTTATAAGTTGAATTTGACCTTTAACAAGTCAGAGAGTGTGATATATTTACAAAATGATCCCGTGAAAATTCACTAGAAAAGTCGGACCAGTGAAGATTTACTGGCCCGACTGGAATTTTACTAGTCACGGACTAGCGGGTCTGGGGCTATTTCGCACAGTGCTTCCATGTCTTCGTTGGTTTTGTGGCTTTTACTTCATCTAAAATATGCTTTCTTCTCCAGGACACAGACCTGACCTGGTACAACACATGGCCTCAGTTCACAGACTGCTTCCAATCCACGGTGTTGGTGTGGGTGCCGTGTGGGTGGCTGTGGCTGACGTCCCCGTTCTACTTCTACTACCTCCTGAACGTCACACCGACATCGCTGTCATCACGATATAAATACATAGCAAAGATGGTAAAGAGTAACCGTACACTGACTCTCCAAATCTTGTGCCTATTGTAAATATATGACTCATCACGAAATAAACAGTGAGCAAAGATAATTAGGTGCAACCGTAGATGACTACCCAATGGTTGTACATTTGTAATCATTTATCCCTGTCCATCAATGTCACATCTGGAGAAATCATGAATGAACTCACACATTGGGCCCATGTGGAGAATCGAACCCAGGTCGTAGGTGTGATGAAAGAACCTTTGGACCACAGGACCAAAACTTTCGCTGAGGGTATTGACTTGTAGTTTATGCCGCTTTCAATAGTATTTCTGTCAAAGCACAGCGGATCAGCTTGATGTGGAAGGAAAACCTAGGGTAATGCTGGATCACAAGCATGGTGCTGATCATACCAACCCTAGAAACAGTCGGGACGACTCCATACAGAGTTTGTCTACCCATCAACAATTTTCTCAGTATCATTCTGTTCTTTCCAGGTCCTTTGTTTCTGTCTTGCCGTTCTCTCCATCACCCAGCTCATCGTTGCTGCCGAGGACGTCAACAGCAACACCTTCAAAGCCTTCATCATCGCACCTGCCGTCCATACAGTGACCTTTGTAAGATTCCACGAATACATTAAATGCTAGTTTGTATCTCATGACACAGTGGATCAATCTTTAAAGTTATATCAAAGATATTTTCTTCGAAAAAATGAATTCTACAGAAATAACTTCCATTTTCGCATATGGCGACCTTTAACTGCATAGCTTGAATTTCTCCAAGTTTTTTTCTCCAAGCACGATGGTCTTTCTCAAAACTATAATTTTCGGATAGAGAGGGAAATATATTAACTAGGTTCCTTTTTGACCATCATGTACGTTGAAATCTATAGAGAATATTACAAATAAATAAAGTAATTAACCGAACATTAGTCTTGTTGATAGTTCCACCATCATTCGCCAGCCAAATAGTTACCAGATAAAGAGATATCTTTACAATAACAATGAAGCCAGTGGCTGTTTTAAAACTAAGTGTACCCCGAGCAAGTGCGTTATTTCAGCTGCTTGCGATGCTGCTGCTGCTCCTGGAGAGGAAGAAAGGTCTCATCACTTCCGGAGTGATGTTCACCTTCTGGCTGCTGCTTACTCTGGCCAGCATCATCCCCTTCTACTCCATCATCATACAGGAGGTAAACGGGTTGTAATTTATCACCAGCACCCTGCAGAATGGCGCTCTATTCAGTTTTGATATCACTCAACAATGTCCTGAAACTATGGAATTACCCTTTCAATGCAGACACAGAGTACAGTAGCCAGTTTCCCGGAAATGTTACAAATGATATCAGTGGATAGAAGAAGCATCATTTCACGTATACAAACACTAACTTCAGATGACATTTGCTTTTAAGTTTTACAAAGAGTGCTGAACCTTTGCAAATATGTAAGTATAGTTGTGGCCACCGCGTCTAGTAACAGATGATTGAAGTTTTCCCAAAGTAATACCACTAATGTAATTTACCACAGCTGTTACGGGTAATAAATTGCCCTGACAAAAGGTTTAAAGAGTCCCCTTTGAACCAGCAAAATAGAACACAGACAAGTCTAAAATTATATATTGAACAAACAATGAGCAAACTACACTGAATGACAATACAGATATCTAGTACAATGCAATTGAGTCACAGATCTAAAATATTGGGTCACATATATATATATATATATATTTACTGATTGAAGGTTGTTTACAATGACATATGTTGAATGTGGACGAGTCTTGAAATGTAAGTCAGCTTGACGAAGGCAGACAGATGTACATAAATCCAGTGATATGAAAAGACTGTGTGTTAGTCCCCGCCGCACAACACAACAACCAGCCTTTATATAGCTCTTTCACAGTTCTCGAGCATTCTAGTAAGGTAGGCAGCATCACTATCCACTCAGAACATTAAGCGATTTTCTCGAACATACGACCGGAAGTCAAAACAAAATAAAGCCAAGGGAGGCAACTCTGGAGCGTTATCAAAAAGGCGTACCGCTAAAAAATACTAGTGCCATTGAACATACATGATGCAAGATGTGAGCCGCAACCCACACTCAAAACTTTAAACATTGTGACCCATAATAACTATCAATTAATCAATGTTATTACAAATTACAAAAAAACACACTCTCGTAACACAGTTAATTAACAAAACCAGTCACATTAACATCACAAAAGTATTGCGAAATCGTTTCACAAACTGTGATTTAAATACTGAAATATGTTTTGTTTTTCAGCAGGATGAAGGCGTACTTACTGTAACATTCTTCATATACGAAGCTCTGGTAATCTCAGAGCTGTTCATGAGCTGTTTGGCTGAGACGCCTTCTGAGGCTTCCAATCAGGACAAGGTATGGCTCTTTCCTTTTGTATTAAAACAACAACACTAATGTCGACAAAAACCCTTAATAATTTCGAGTATTTTCTCTCCTTTATGCGAATGTTTAATCCCAAGACATATGCCGATGAAACATGGAGATCTGTACTCTGTCAGATCTATAAAATGAAGAACAGTCCCATGTTCCAGCAGGTGCCAGTTTCCCTTTGATATTTCATGGATTAACTCCTCCAAAATACTTAACTGTAACTGTCCTTGCTCACTCACAGAAACCATGTCCTGAACTAGAATCATCCTTCCTCTCAAGAATTACGTTTTGGTGGATGACCAGGTAAACCCATTTAACATTATAAATGACACAGACAGCAATTTAACTACTCATTTATCATTGTGTGTTACCCTTGTTGCTTAAGGAATACATTGCTTGAACAATTAGTAATCGAGCTTTTAAATATGAACATTTATTTATTTTGACAATATGTTTGTAAAACATAGATGAGAGAGTGGATGAGTATGAAAATACACCACTTTGAACAGCAGTCTAGCAACATCAAAGCGTAGAAACCAGAAATGGTCTTCACTCATAGTGCACATAAAGGGAAACAAACACTGGCCTTCGGATTAAGAAGCCAACGCTGCTCAACAAGGACCATCCGCAACTAAGGGACAACAGATAGAGCCGGTGGAGATATTATGAAAGAAGTCACCAAGTCGACGAACAAATGAGAACATATGAGAAACGAATAAATAGTCAATGTTTCATAAGTTTACATTTTGTATACTTCGTACACACATGCTTCCTGTTATTCTATAACCATGGAAGCAAAAAATGTCTTTCTGGGTTAAAATCGTGAGTTCAAATCCCGGTTCTCTCTGATTATATGTCTAAGTTTATCGGCACCATACCCATGTTCCTGGCTTTCAAGAAAAAAGTTTGTCTCTCGAACCAATTCTTGGTATCCTCCACAGTGATATGGATCGGGAACTGACCGGTTATTACGTTGACGTAAGCCCACTCACACGTTTGCATCACAGGTTACTGCTCAGAGGCTACCGGAAGTCGTTGACAGAGGCAGACGTCGATGATATTCATCCTTCTTTATGGTCTGCCAGCAATATGCCTGGGTTTCTCTCACAGTGGAACAAACAGACTGGTCATCCAAACAGGTAATCAGCTTTCATTTGTGCATGTTATAGTGTGGAGGCTTGTCCAAATTGCCGCAATTCGCTGTGGACATTTGCCGTGTCGATACCTATCATCATATTTCACAGAAACCCTGATCACGTTTCTGTCATTGAATGTGTGAACACATACCTCAACCAAGTTGGTTCACTGAAGTGGTGAATATCGAAGACCTGCATCACCTCGGATGGTCCCCTACAACCAACACATTCTCCTTATCCCTACAAACATCCAATCAAATCTTCATTTTTAATCGGCCGACACACTATTGATTTAATATTGTTCAAATCAGCGTTAAAACTCATTTATTACCAAGACTACTTACACTACATTTAGACTATGACTGATATTTGATCTTCAAGTCCCAGAAATAAAAATTATGGTGACATCCTTGTTATGTACATATTATATCATTATATTATGCATAATAGTAACACATGCTTCTTGTAAGAAATGGATTACGTGATATGCTGGTTACGACCGCAGTGATATATACTGAGGGAAACAAATAAGGGAACATCACATCATCGAAATACTCCTATATATATGTGCAGATTTTTACCCACAATACAATGCAAAATTTGCAAAGAAACCTGGGAAACGAAAAAAGGAACACTTGTGTTCTCTTTTTTGTTTCCCTTAGGATATCTGGAAACTTGTCGGTTATGGCGTTAAACTTAGAAAACAAACGACCAGTACGTAAACCTAATACATCGAGTATCGAAATCCAGAATTAGACAAACCCTCAGATACTATGAAGGGGAATACACATGTGCATAAGCATTAAATGTTTGAATTCTACCGGGTAATATCTACGTTTATATTGTTTCTGTTACAGGACAAATGAGAACAAGAAAGTGTATTATTCAAAAGGACACAATGACTCTCTCCTTTTTGATGCATGTGATGAAACGTCACCTTTGTTGGGAAATAAACATCAAGAGATGAAGCAGACGAAGAAGGCAGCTAATGGAACCACGTTCTCGCTGGTCAGGGCTTTGTGGAAAACATTCTGGTTTGACTTGATACAGTTTCAAGTCTGGGTGCTTGTTAGTGACTTGCTCAGATTTGCCAGTCCTTTGATACTTGGGTAGGTATCCACAAATAGAACTGTTCAGATCTGTCAACTGCAACATAGAAAAGTTCTTTGAACACACCGATCATGAGCCGATTCGCTCTGTTTGAAATGTTTCAGGGCACCTCCACTGACGAACCTTCATTTCATTCTTTTCTTGTACTACATGTAGTGTGTAAGATGTTTATATGCACAGTTATAGAACTCGTGATTCAGCGAAACCGTCCACTATTCTACAAAAGACAGCTCTCACTCCAGGCATATCATATAAAACTATTGCAGGCAAATGTTTTGCTTGTTTAAAGAATATGAAATAATAATTTTGCTTCAGCCTTCTCGTATCCTTCACCACAGACAAGACTGTGCCCCTGTGGAAAGGCTACCTTCTATGTATTGTGCTGTTTGCATCCACGTTGACTCAGACAGTCTTTTCTCATGCTAACTGGCACCAAGGAAAAAAGGTGGCACTCAGGATTGTTGCTGTCATCATATCTGCTATCTTCAGAAAGGTACTATTGCTGCAGTGTGTGATGTAATCAAGATAGAGTTTTGTACTGTTTTACTCTTATATTTAAGCAGAACATTACCTTGTACTCAGCACTCCACAGTTTTGAAAACATATGTTAAATGAAGGACTATCCTATGCTCATGCAACTGATGTCAATGAACCCTATGCACTGATGTCAATGAACCCTAACACAGCATGAAATAATGCCAAATTCCGAATCTGAGCGTTGTTGAAATCACTTTTTGAAAGCTATTTGAACTTTTGCAAATCAAGTGTTCACCAAAAACATCCCACGGAAACATGTGGTAAAATCCAAATGAGGAACCGAAATCCGACATACTTTCTTCCTGCCACTGATGCCTCAAACGGGAAATGTACTCCATGTGACAATGACAATGACAATTTATTTATTTATTTCGGTACAGTGGCCACATTGCCTAAAGTACATGTAGGATACAGAAATATTGTGCACAGCGGAACAATGTAGATAAGATCAAATTATAGTACTGTAAGAAAAGCTATAGTTCATATTGGCAGATTTGTTTTCAGATAAATACTTAGAGATAGTATATGCTCCTCATTAATTGATGATAACAAGTGATAATACTTGACAAGTGATTGGTCTACATGGTCATAAGATGGAATGATCTTCTGACGACTGTCTGCATAATACGGACTAATAAGCAGAAACTGATAGATTTACTCCACGTGTCTCCCTTAAAAATATATCAAGATCCAGAGTATAGAGACAAAATACAACATAGGGTCTTTTTCAGAGCACTTGTTGCATGCTCTAGTTGGATTTTATTCATGGGATATACTTCTGTAGTTGGTTAATAAATTTCATTTCTCACTGAAAATCAAGATGTAACCATGACAACGCTGGCAATTTCAGCAGCCCCAGGTATTTATAACTCCTGTCTTGTTTACTATTCATATTGCGCAAACTAGCTATATGCACATAACAATATGATTCGGTTCTATGAACAATTTTCAGTCCTTAAAGATGAGCAACAAGGCAAAGAAAGAGTCGACAACAGGAGAAATTGTGAACTTGATGTCTGTAGACGTGGAGCATATACAAACCATCACGGTTTGGATCTGGGCAGTGTGGGCTATTCCTTTGAATGTCGCCATTGCCCTGTACCTCCTGTATCAGTCTCTGGGAGCATCCATGTTCGCTGGGATGGCGGTGTTGCTTGTGTTGTTGCCCGTCAACGTTGTCGCCGTGTTCATGCTGAGGAAGTATCAGGCTGAACTGATGCAATACAAGGACAAGAGGATGAAGATAATGAATGAAGTCCTCAATGGCATTAAGGTAAGGTGATGTTCCTCCGTGAAAAGCAGTCTTATTTTTTGTTTAGATGTGAAGATTGGGATATAATCAAATCTTTATAAATGAGTACATAACTTCTGGCCACCCCCATCCCAAGCGGCCCCCACCCCCTCTACCACCTTGGGTACAGTGTGGGCAAATTTGGCTGACATAATGGGATGCTGTGGGTTGCAATCACGTATAATAGCGGCACCAACCTGATTCATGTTGATGAACATAAAGGCGGAACTATCGGAAATAGTAGAGAACACCAAACGCCGTATTAGCAATTTTGGATCTACCGACTCCAGTAAAGTCGAAGTCGAAGTAATCGTCTGTCAACCGACACTGACAATTTCAGTCTGATGGTAGTGTCTGTGAACAGACACATGTACAGTCAGCCCGTTAGTAGTAATCTTTTGTAAAGATACACATGTAAAGTCAGCCTGTTTCAGTAATCTCCTGTAAATACGCACTTGTAAAGTCTTTTGTGAACACATGTATTCACCTTGCTCTTGTTGTCACAGATACTGAAGTTGTATGCCTGGGAACCGTCCTTCCAGGAAAAAGTTTTGGAGGTTCGGGATAAGGAATTGCGCATTTTGATGAAGATGGCTTTCCTTAAGAGTTTTAACACCTTCACCTGGACTCTTATTCCTTATCTTGTAAGTCACATTTTGTCCACAAATCCACCCCTGCTGGAACGCCAGACAAACATTATTCTGTGTAAAATAGTTGCAACAAAACTATCAGTTAGATTCATGGTTCACTTTAATCGAATATCATGTTTGAGGTGAAATGAACAAACACGCTTATTACAGGGCACATTCAAATTTAACTGCTGCAAAACTGTTCGAAAGTCAGAATCTAGTTCGAAAATATTTTAAGAGTCATTTGCATGTGTCATTAATCTATACACATGATTTGGAAACTGACAAAGACTAGCGGCATAATCACATGGGTTTTCTATGTCTGAGTGACACATATGCAATATGTGAAGCCCCTTTCTGGTTTCCCCCGCCGTGATATTGCTGGAATATTGCTAAAAGCGCCGTAAAACCATACTCACTCACTCACTATGTCTGAGTCTACATTTCTTGGTGTTATGTACACAATTGTTTTGGTTTTGTTTATTTTTTTAAAACAAATAGTTTAAAAACTTTTTCACGGCCATCAGACATGATTTCGCTGAAAAAATGCTAGAGTACCCCAAGGAAGACTTTTTCTAACAAAGAGCCCATGGTAAAGCAGATCATTATATCCTGCAGGTATCTCTAACTACATTTGTGACATACATCTTCACTTCTGATGACCACTACCTCCGACCTGAGGTCGTCTTCCCGGCGATCTCTCTCTTCAGTATCATCAGACTTGCTATTGTCAGATCACCATCTGTCATCGCATATTTAGTCCAGGTAGTTGAGCAATATAAAACTAAAAACAGCAAGAAATGTTTCTTTGTACACTAACAATGAACACATGGTGGAACCTTATCAAAACTATCAGTAGTGTTCTTTTTCCGAAGATCACAGGGCAAAGATGTTTGTTTGGATCTTTGGCCTTTGAAGAGAACATATGGAGCCATTTCTCACGCATGTTAATAATTGATACCACAGAAAACGTTGTAAGCGACATTTTCGTTGCTTTGTTAAAACTTTACTTAGCCATTTCAAAAACATTTTCCCTGGTTTAACTCCAAAATCTCATGGATCAAAAACCGGTACGCTCAATATCATTCCAGGGGTACATTTGTGAGTCTTTCTCTAGATCAAGGACTACTAAAAAACACAACGGTTTTGACAAATTCAAGTTTTGACTTGAACTGTACATCTGTGCAATGTTCCGACACTTTCATTGGGATGACCAACAGAAGCCTCTTACTCATTAGGTGTAATACTGATGAGTAATATGGATTAACACTAATGTACATTTACACATCATAATATACATGGCCAATGTTATGCGTTTTCAGGCTACAGTATCCCTGAAGAGAATTAACAAGTACCTCAACAGAGAAGATTTGTCTGAAACCGACGTCTTATGGAACGCCACACAACGTCAGTAAGGTTTACCGTCTCCAGACATTCAATACTATAATGATTGATCGAGTAAATGAGTGCCGACGTTCTAGCTTAATGCGTTAATGTATTGGTGCTGACAAACCAAGTAAAGTAACAGTGTAACTCGACACCACAATCATTGGATTCTGGTGTGTCCAAGAAACATAACTCTGCACACCGAATAGCCGCGTCTTAGACAAGTGGCCTCCCAATGTGTGCGTGTGTGTGGTCATTGTAACCTGTCTATCAGAGTTATGGTGCAAAGAACTATACTGAACAGCAAAAATACGCAACTCTTGTTTTTCGGCAAGTTTTTAATAGAAGGCATAAACATGAACGCTTACTTTTATGAAATTTCATTTTTTCGAAAATTTCGTTTCTTTTGCTGTTCAGTATATAAAGCAACTGTAGCGTTGGGTTGCATATTTTCGTCAACTTTGATGTAAGCGTTATGTTCAATATTGCCATTACAAAAAGACTATTCCCATATTTATGCAATTATTACCTCCAATAAAATATAATCACAGCAAAGAAAAAATCATTCCAGGAGACAAAACCAAGTTTCCATACAAATGGGCCCACCTACAAATTTAGATTGATGCAAACCAAATCAATGTTTGATCAATTCTTACTCTCCTCTCTCTCCACTTTCTTACTTTCCTATATTCCTATATCCTTTTCTTTGTATTTTATTCATACATCCATTAAACTTATGTCCTTTCTTATTTAGTTCGAATAATGAATGTATGTATGTATGTATGTTCAGTATTATCGAACTGTATGAATATTGTATTATTTGCTGTCGTAATAAAGAAAAGAAAAAAGAGAAGAAAGAAAAGTTCATCTAATTCGTCAAACGTTAGACAGTATACAGATAATGGAAGTTGATCAATATTACTTGACCTATTACACGTATATACTGTAGGTCCAGCGGTGAAGATTACAAACGGATGTTTCCAGTGGAATTCTGAAGCAGCACCAACACTCACAAAGTAAATCAACATTTTATGTTATCCACTTACGACATTGATAAAAAATATGTAAAGATATAAATTTAAGATCTAAACGATGCCTACTAGTTCTGATATCATGTCAGTCATGAACGATCACGATCTAAAACATTTTGTTGTTTCAGCGTCAGTTTGGATGTTACCGAGGGTCAGCTTTTGGCAATTGTGGGTCAAGTCGGATCTGGAAAATCCTCACTTGTGTCTGCCATCTTGGGGGAAATGGACAAGCTCTACGGTCATGTCAGTTTGAAGGTCGTTAATAACTTCCTATCTTTTTACAAGTACGATGTTTTCAGTGTACGAAGTTCTATTAAAAAACTATGCTACAGTTAGAAAATGTTCTTAACATATGTATTTTGAAATATATATATTCTCCTTCTTGATTTATCCTGATCAGAGTCACATTGCCTACGTGCCCCAAGTTGCGTGGATCCAGAACGACACCCTGCAGAACAACATTCTGTTCGGGAAGCCCATGGACAGACATTGGTACAACAAAGTGGTGGAGTGTTGCGCTCTGACTCCAGATCTGGAGATGTTACCAGCTGGCGATATGACAGAGATAGGGGAGAGAGTGAGTACTGACAGAGATTCTCTGGCAAACGCTGCACATAATAGGAATGTGTCTTTCGTATTGCATGTTTTTTTGTTTCGACATCATGCAATGAATTTGACAGAAGAACAGAAACATAGACTGTCTCCATCCAGGACAGTGTACAGCATTGTGTCTTGTGTATTGCATTCCTATCTTGTTACCGGCGTATCAGTTTAAGCGGAGGACGGAAGCAGAGTGTGTCTCTAGCCAAAGCTGTCCATAACCTTGAGTCTGGTGTATTGCATTTGTTTCCTATCTTGTCATCAGGGTATCAACTTGAGTGGCGGACAGAAACAGAGAGTCTCACTAGCCAGAGCTGTCTACAACGATGCTGACATATATCTGCTGGATGATCCACTCAGTGCCGTTGACAGTCATGTGGGGAAACATATCTTTGACAAGGTCATCAGTAGCGAAGGTTTGCTCGCTAGCAAGGCAAGCACTCTTAGAATATATATGACGTTTAAGTTCCATGTATTTGCGCATACATTCAGATATATATTAAAATTTCCAACTAATTTTGAGGATAATTATGGGCGCCTAATGCTCCTAAAAACTATCCATACTCCAGTTTTGTTCTTGGTGTTACCTATTGTGCGGTTGAGGAATGGTGCTGAAAACAACGTGAAGTTAAATTCATTCCTCAGTCATAACGATCTGCTATAATGTTTGATGTCAAAATGACTCTCACCTGTCCCATCCAGACTCGTGTCCTGGTCACTCACGGCATCCACTGGCTCCCAGAGGTGGACTCCATCCTTGTGATGACCAGTGGTCAGATATCAGAGAAAGGGACGTATGAGGAGCTTCTGCAGTCTAACGGGCCATTTTCCAAGTTCCTACAGACTTACCTGACAGAGAATAATGATTTGGATGACAGTCAAATTGAAAGTATGTCCCATTCTCCGCGTACATATTCATTCATATTCAAGAAACACTCAATTTATTCTATTCAAAATGTAATTCCCATTCTTACATTATGTTTTAACAAATAGACAGGGCATGCCTAAGGCAGAGCGATCCGCTGAGATGGGTTACGCATAGATCCAATGATCTTTGGTCAGAATCCCAGATTCGACTTGATGATACATGTTTGATGGTTTCCTCGAGGTTGTAAATTCTAATTCAGACACAGTTCCTCCATTCTGATTTACCATTTCATACGACACTAAAACACCTGGTGTCATCACGTATTTTTAGTGCTGCGGTCATGTAATTGTCACCTCTTTTTGTCTCCTTACACCTGTGACGGTAGGGTAGCCTAGTGGTTAAAGCGTTTGCTCGTCACCCTGAAGACTATTCCGAAGGTTCGATTCCACACATCTGTATTTCTGGTGTCCGCCACCGTGATTTTGCTGGATATTGCTGAAAGGGGCGTAAAACTAAAGTCACTCACTCACCCATATTTACGCCAAAGGTTTGGCTGTTCTTGTTCTCTGAGTTGACATTTAGAATAATCAGTAGTTCATGTAATGATCGGTTATGTATACAAGATACTTTCATGAACATGTATAAGGGCGAAGTCACATTGTCTAATTCTTAAATCATTTTGTATACAGTGAGCAAAATAGGAAAGCAAGTTCTTCAACGCTTAGAGTCGGCTAAATCAAGTGGAGAGAGGAAAGCAGACATCAAACCTGTCCTGTAAGTTTATAATGTATCTGAATACAACTCGAACATTCATTGGACTTTCTCTGTGAGCTAAAATAACTAACTAACAGAATGAATTCCTTGCAAAGTTCTAATATCATGGTGACATTTTATTCCTGTCGATGGTGGTATGTGTTATTCAAAGGTAAGCCGTCCTTTGTCCTTTAAGGAAGGAATATTTCTTCCTTGGAGTCTCCATACTAAAATGTTATTCCTTCTTTGTTTCTATACAAATATGTTAAACTATTCTTTCTAATTTCACATGAGAATTTGTTTTTCGTATGAACAGATTTTCCTTCTATGAAAATATGTTCTTCATTCAAAATTTACAGCATCGTTCATACATATAGATCTAAGCCCCAAACCAATGAGACCAGACAGTTCCAAGTCAAAGAAGAAGAATTGAAAAAGGAGAAGAGGAAACTGGTTGAAGAAGAGGTTGTAGAGTCTGGCAAGGTATTTGACCTTCTATGAACGATATTGATTTTGAATGTTGAAATATAACCAAAAAGGAAATAATCCCCAAACGATTTTTTATGTTTTAACGTCGAATGTAAAAGGCATTTACTACAGCCTGAAACAGTGTAATATGAAGATAATGTGAAATTTTTTAAGCAATTGTTTTAGTAGAACATTCAGGATAGGTAGAACATTCATTGTAGATCTACCATTGTGTCGAGGTTGAGGAAACCAACGTAAATACTTTGAGTTATCCAATCACATAATGGTGACTAAATGCTGAATACTCAGGGACTAAGCTTTTTCATAGTTCACATCATAATACTGTTTGTCTGTATGACTATTTTGACCCTTCGGGAGTTTAGATATGCACGTGAGATGAAAGGTACCAGCCATTGAGCAAATACATGTATCAAGTTGAAGTTCGATAACTTGGAGTGAGTTAGTGAGTGAGTTTGGTTTTACGCCGCTTGTAGCAATATTCCAGCAATATTACGGCGGGGGACACCAGAAATGAGCTTCACACAATGTACCCATGTGGGGAGTCGAACCCGGGTCTTCGGCGTGACGAGCGAACGCTTTAACCACTAGGCTACCCCACCGCCCCTCGATAACTTGGAATATCCATTGATTTCACATGCTCAAAGATTGGTATACAGAATGCTGGCATGCCACTGAGGGCTGTCACAAGAAATGTTGACTGACATGTGATCTGAATATATGGCAATGGTTACCAGCTTTTAAAAATGTGTCAAATGTTAGCCATGTTTGCTTCTCTTTATCAACTAGTTTTAGGGCGGTTTTGCGGTTAGATTTGCCATGTAATTATTAACTGGGGTCAATCTTTCCAGACAGTAATTTGAATTGAAGTCCTTTGCTTTGGTTACTAGTTAGATATTGAGAACATGAACAATATCTGGTGTCATACCTTTTTAATGTGTGTACTTTCAATAGCCATGTTTTCTAACATCAAACGAAGGAATTACACAATAAAGGGAAGTATAAGATGTCATTATTGTTCTTTCAGGTTACTATGAAAGTATTTCTAACCTACTTCCGGGCTATTGGGTTATTGCCGATGTTGATCGCGATGGTTATGTACGCATTATTTCAAGCAACGTCTGTAACGTCAACTACGTGGCTCAGCAAATGGACTGACGACACTTCGCTAGGAAACCTGACAACGCTGCCTTCCAACAGCACAGCCCGAATGGAGAAAAATGAATATTACATTGGAATATATGGTGCTTTGGGTCTAGTTCAAAGTAAGAATTGAAAGACAACAAATATGCCTTAGTAAAATAATTCAAGACCTATGTACCTTATATGCTTGGTTAAAAAATACATGATCTACGAACCAGTATGTGTTTATTCAGTTTTGTGTTGGGCACATTACTTGTTATGGCATCAGCAGAGTTGCGTTTCTTAGTTGTTCCAGGATACGTTAGTTTTGGGGTTTGAATGCCAAAATTTCCATTGACTGGTCCTAGTTCCGTCAAATAATGGCTGGAAATCATTGGCGTTACAAAAAGACGCCAATGAAGAAACCAGATACTTATTTTAGCTGCACTCAAAACCAGATTTTATAAGGAAATATGTGAATTATTGAGCCATGTACATATATGCATGTTTTTTGAAAATGTATACATGTGTTCCTAAAATGCACACACACACACACACACACACACACACACACACACACACACACACACACACACACACACACACACACACACACGCACACACACACACACACACACACCGAAAACACCTTGCGGCAGCAATATTTATTTGCAGGGCGGTGTGAATAGCGCATAATTGTTTCATTCGAACATTTTCTGGAACAATCCTATCTTTCAATAAAACCATAAGGTCACACCAGCATATCAAGTAGCGCACTATGGCGTGTGTTATAACTAAATACATGCTTTTCAATTTCCAGCTACGTTCATCATGGTATTTTCCTTTCTATGGAACCTAAGGACGGTAAAGGCATCTGGTACACTCCACTCGAACATGCTGAAGAATGTTCTGAGGGCACCGATGTCCTTCTTTGACACCACGCCTACGGGCAGGATTGTCAATCGGTTCTCCCAGGATATGGATACAATCGACACCAGAATGCCCATCGCGGTGGAATATTCCTTCAACACCACGTTCCAAGTCTTCAGCAGCATCATCATTATTTCTTACACCACCCCTATATTTCTCGTCGTCGTCGTTCCCTTAGTGGTACTATACTTCCTTGTACAGGTGAGCAGTAACATTAATTCTGTAAACCTTCAAAGAGTAAGATAAGAAAGGAAATTTTAAGCATTAGCAAATCGTTACCATAAACTACGTTCTATGAGCTGTTTCAATCCACCTGCCGTTAAAAAAATCAGCCAGAGTTAAGACTTGCTCATCTTCAAATATACTGAGGGAAACAAATAAGGGAACACCACTTCATGGCAATGTTCCTTTATTTATTCTCAGATTTTCCCCCACAGCGCTATTCAAAGCTGGTGATGAAAATTGGAAAATATTAAAGGAACGCTTGAATTTTCCTGTGTTCCTTTGTTTGGTTCTCTCAGTATATTTATGGAATGCTTCATGAAGCATTTAATTTTAAATCATTTTGATGCATATTTTATGAATAAAAACAGTTTTGTTAGTCTCAAACATGCAGAAGAAAACATAGTTATTATCCATTGGAACCTTGTTGATAACTGTAATAGTGATTTCTAATGATCTTGCTATTTTCTTAAACTTTGTAGATATATAGTTGGCCAGAAAGAATCCGTTTCATCACGTGTCCTTTAGTGACAATCCGTTCTCATTTCCTCAATTATTGCTTTGTTTTCACACTTAGAAAGCCATGTGGGAACTGTAGACTGTATGCCTGATATCGAGTAACTGGTCTATGCAGCGAACATTGTTTTCTGTACACGAAATATATATTAAAATTTAGCGTGTCAGTTCTTAACTGACATCAGGAAGGACATACAGACTACACGTGAGTGGGACTTATAGTGACATCGGCAATATTCCAGCTATATCGTGACTTATACAAGCTACTGCTCCTGTAATGCTACACAGTGTGTACACGTCTTTGCAAATCATATTTCCAGAGGCAGTAACTAATTTCTTTTTCACATCATGGAATTAATTTTGCCAAGACATAGCACTGGACAAGAATCTGTTAACTCAGTACTGGTATCCGCAGTGACATTTGTCAACAGTTTGCTGTTAACATTCACCTCTCATTCGTGGTGTTATTGTCCTCCTAAGGATCATTCATTGAATGAATGTTTTGCAAGTATAGCGACGTCATGTGGAAACCTTGTTTAATTCCGTAGCGTTTCTACGTGACAACATCTCGCCAACTGAAGAGATTGGAAGCCAAAAAATCGCTCTCCGATATACAGCCATTTTGGGGAGACCTTATCAGGAGCCAGTGTTATCAGATCGTTCCAAGCCCAGTCGAGGTTCATCAAGGAATCTGAGGACCGAGTAGATGCAAAGCAGAAGTTCACCTTTTACTCATTTTGTGCTCTCAGGTAATTTTGATGTCATGATGATCAAGTTTGAAAGGTGCTTATATGCAACAACATAAGTTTACCTATGCACTGGATGCCCCCAAAACCTATCAAAATTATAACCTATTTTATAGGCAGTTAGACATTGGAGCAGTAACGAAGTATAGCATTATATGGATGAACAACTTCTTTATTTCAGTGAAAGTATTCATCCATATATTGTTATCCTACCTTAATGAAAAATGATTTGCAATTTTGGCCTATCAAATATCTTTAGATCTTTGATTCCTGATGTTGTCCAATGCAACATGCTTTCGTACTTCAAATTCCGCAATAACAAGTTGTATACACAGTAATAAATTAATCTCGCAACTGCAGTGCAATGCGCCTAGCCTCAAGCTCTTTCAGTGGAAACGTTATAAAGAGTGTAATAGCCTTGAGGTGTTGACGTGTCAGTCGGCGACGTGTATTCGAGCATGTTCCGAAGGGCTTCCCAGCACATGAACACAATATTATGTACTCAGTCGAAATTCAACCCTCAAACAAAAGTATGTTTCTTGTGGAAAGTAGAGCACTATTACCTGTCATCACTTGCAAGGCAGATATATATTTAACAACCTCAACACTGATAAGATTATATCTTACAAATGACCTCTATTGTAACTCTGACCTTACAGAATGATCACATATGATCTTCCCGATCCGGGCCCTATCCTGTCCTATTTACTACTATACATCCTTCTTGCATTATCGTGAATATAATGCATCGTAGATTGTATATTACCTTGAGAATGAATTTGACCTTCAGTAACAGTTACAAGTATGTAAAGAATATTACAAGAAGCCCTGCCGGTATATGTGTCCTTGGTTGGAAACTCTGTAATTATTGAAAGTACATGCAGATCAAACTGGAAACGTCATGCAGGAGACCTTAAATGATGGTGCTTGATGTTGCCCTGCCTGACGCTCGGCATTGATGAGATAAAAAGGATTGGTCGGCTTGGGGGAATATGATGTGTCTGAGTGTGGTAAGCCTGTTAAAACTGCTACCTCACCTCACCTCACCTCACCTCACCCTCACCTCACCCTCACCTCACCTCACCTCATTGAAATGACGCGCTATCATGGATAACTGAAGTAAAACGTTCAGAAATGGTAAAACCAGTCTACATACTCAGTGTGTGTATCTGACAGATGGCAAGGTGTGCGTCTGGAAGTCTTCGGGAACATCATCGTTCTGGCCGCCTCCCTGTTTGCCGTCATGTCACGTGACACCTTGTCAGGAGGACTTGTAGGCTTGTCGGTCTCCTATGCTATTGAGGTATGTACAGTTTTAACGGTTATAAAGGAACAATAATTTTAGTTTATTTTAGTCGCAGTTCGTTTTACGCATTTCAACTAAAACATATATCAAGTGTCAGCGAAACGACCCAGTTCGTTGTATCCATAAGTTCGTTATAAGTGGACCGCCTCCGTGGTGTAGTGGTTAGAGCATCCACCCGGTGAGCGGAAGGTCGCGGGTTCGATCCCCGACCGCGTCATACCAAAAGACGTTAAAATATGGTACTTGTTGGTCCCTGCCTGGCGCTCGGCATTAATGGGTACAACAAGGACTGGTCGGCTCGGACTCAGTATAATGTGTCTGAGTGGGGTATCCATGCTTCACTGCGGCATGGTATCTCAGTGGGCTAGCACTATAAAACCAGCTTAAGTCTGGGCTAGTACAAGCAGCCGCACATACACACACACACGCATGCACGTCGTCATATGAGCGAAATATTCTCAAGCACGACGTTAAATCCAATTTCCCCTCACCTCACCTCGTTATAAGTGTGTTCGTTACACAACCTGTGTGGCCCGTGTTTGTTCTTGTAATTATGAGCTCTTGATGTAAAGATTCTTTCATTCTAACAAGTGCCACACACACCTGATATGGCCACTATTGCCGGAATGATTGGCATACTCTCGGTTCCTGCTTTGGCAATTTTTATTGACAGCCTTTGTCTTTCAAATTGTATGTACTGAGTCATGCATCTTTGCCGTGTGTACAATCATTTCAGATAACCGCTAACCTCAGCTGGATGGTGCAGCTGGTGTCAGAAGTAGAGACACAGATCGTCATGGTGGAGAGGGTCAAGCAGTACACTGAAATACATTCAGAGGTAAACATACCTAAAACGTTAATATCAATGGAGATGTACGTTGGTGATACCTTTTATCATAAACATTAGCATTATATTTCACCCGTTCAAACGTTATATGATCTTCATATGCTTGCCTATATTCTGTAACATAGATGCCAGTGTTTGATACAAAGGTTTATACAATACCAGCCAGCATGGGACATGCCCGAGAGACGTCCAACTCATGACTGGCCAGACGCCGGGGTGGTGAAGTTCCTTGACTACTCAACGCGATATAGAGAAGGCCTTGACCTTGTTCTCAAGGGAGTAACGTGTACAGTACATTCAACAGAGAAGGTAAATGAAGAAAGTACTGACATATCATATGTCATTTTCCATAGGGACTATGTTTGACTATTAAAATTAGAGTACTTAATGAAAGTATTACATATAAAGAAAATCATTGGTTTGGGTGTAAAAATATCTCGGAGCCATCTATGAGTTATCCCCGACTACTACATTTTGATTTCCAAATTAATACATTACGCATTCCCAGCTGTGACATTGGATGACATGTATATATTGCACCACCAAACATTGTATCAAGACTTAAACACGCGTTTGACCGTTACTTGTACTGGTGCCATCCAGGTGGGCATCGTGGGCAGGACGGGGGCTGGGAAGTCCTCTCTGACTCTGTCCCTGTTCCGGCTGATAGAAGCTGCAGGAGGAGAGATCAACATAGATGGCGTTGACATCAGTACACTCGGGCTGCATGACCTCAGGAGCAAACTCACCATACTACCTCAGGTAGGCCTGCATGACCCCAGGAACAAACCCACCGTACTCCCTCGGGTATGTCTGCATGACCTCAGGAACAAACTCACTATACTACCTCAGGTAGGCCTGTATGACCTCAGGAACAAACTCACCATACTACCTCAGGTAAGTCTGCATGACCTCAGGAACAAACTCACCATACTACCTCAGGTAGATCTGTATGACCTCAGGAGCAAACTCACTATACTACCTCAGGTAGGCCTGTATGACCTCAGGAACAAACTCACCATACTACCTCAGGTATATGTTCCTGTTATCAACATCTACGTGAAGGGTGTTATCATTTCAAATGATACAGTTTGGAATAATAAATAAACTACTGTGGACAGTTGAAAAAATAATATGAAGAAATGCTGTAAAATTCTCTTGTAGGATCCTGTATTATTTGCCAGAAGCCTGCGAGGCAATGTTGACCCCTTCACCCAGTATTCAGACAATCAGATCTGGCGGGCGCTGGAACAGGCTCATCTGAAGACGTTCGTGGAGGTACTTCCTGATGGACTGGAACACGAGTGTAGCGAAGGAGGGGAAAATATGAGGTACTAATTGATGACAATGATTGTTGTAATTTACGTCATTATCTCCGCAAATATCAATTCTTTACATTATTTTTGTGTTTCACTGCTAAATATAAATATATCTTACGCAATCAATAATGCTTTAACTGCCAGCGTGTAGCTTAACGTTCTGCCATATTTCAGTGTTGGTCAGCGGCAGCTCTTGTGTCTGGCCAGAGCTCTCCTGAAGAAGACCAGGATCCTAGTACTGGATGAGGCTACAGCAGCCGTTGACATGGAAACAGATGACCTGATCCAGCAGACCATCAGGTCAGAGTTCAAGGACTGCACGGTGCTGACCATCGCCCACAGACTCAACACAGTCATGGACTACGACAGGTATCTTTTCGTGTTCTTCTTACACATCATTTAAGTATTTCAGATTACACGTTTGCACCTGTGATCTTTTGTAAACCCGTGTCACAATGTCATATTCGGGTAAGTAATACGCAATAGTCGATCGATTCTCCCAATAGTAATCACCAGATTGACAATGTTTAGGTCGCCGTCGTAGAACTGGAATATCGCTTAGTATAAGTGACCACAAATATACACACAAAAATGGTATTGTCATATGAACTTCCATTACTGATGAAACGTAACATATATATTTTAGGATCCTGGTCTTGGACAACGGCCGTGTGTGTGAGTTTGACACACCCTCCATCCTGTTGCGACAACACGACAGTATCTTCTACAACATGGCCAAAGCTGCTGGGTTAACAACATAATACAAAACAATTTCACAAATCTAATTACGCAACTAGATGATAAACAGACCAACAATATGTATGACAAGATAAATTGTGTGCCTTCGTCCACTTGATATGACTCGCTCATGCCTTCAACCACATGTTTGCAGGACCCAGACTCGTTGTACGTCCCGTAATCCCAAATTGGGTTACAGCTAGGATATTTTTTGTCTAAAACTTAGCTTGACTTAAATGCATCAATGACTGCGTGTGTACAAACGGACACAATGGCACGCCTTTCAAATGGCTTATGTGGTCAGAAATTATCTTCGACCTGACGAGGCAGGATAAGGGTCCATTTTGACGTCAAGAGAACGCAATTCAATCAGCAGAGTTGGGACCCCGAGGCGTGCCACGATACAGGTTCGCCTTGATTGTGTTCTGAGTTTTTTCAGTACCATAGTCGTGCTTGTGTTTTGCACCAAAGAGGTACACTTCTGGGACGTGCATTACTTCTTGCGCTCCTCTCACATTAAGCTGAAACGTCGTCAAATATCTGGGACATTCTTCAAAGCTGCGTTGAACCAAACTGACTCACTACCTCACTCGATAATGAAATGTATACTCAGACACCTCATAATATACCTGGAATTTTGTTCAAATTGATAATTAACTCAGCGCCATACCTGGCCGACAATGTCAAGTATGTGTACTGCAGACATGATCTTAGATGACACATGACACAATTGAGAGCAGAGGGAATTGAAGCATCCATGATACAGGATAGTCTGTTTCGTCATTATCAATAAATCGTGAGAAAAGTTGAACCCTACCTGGCATTGTGTTGTTACAAAGCTAAACCTACAGCTCCTGATTGAGTAAATATGGTTTTACGCCCCTTTTGGAACTATTCCGGCAATATCACGGTGGGGAACACCACAAAGGGCTGCTCACATTGCCTCCATATGGGGACTCGAACCTGGGTCTTCGGAGTGACGAGTCAACTCTTAAACGACTGGACTACCCCAATGCCTCTATGACAGTTGAGAATGAACTGTGTCCAATTAATTTACAGGCTTTCATAGTCTCTTAATTAAGTTGTATACGTCCCTTGGGGTCCTTTTCATACATTGTCCTTTACTACGTTGAGTTAACTGTGGACATCCCCTTATCATCGCAGGGTACATAATGATTATGTAAAAGGATATGTGTTGATGAATGTATTTTTTTAAAATTTCGTAGTCATCGTTTGCAGATCCAGCAGAGAGGTGTTCATGCCATTTCAATAAGAAAACATGAACGACAATATTGAAGCGTTATTTCTATCGAAGTCCGATGAGTCACTTGTTACATTTAAGTCTTTTGCTGTTTAAATTACACAACGTGGAGACAGTTGTTTTCTTCATAGACTTACAGTCCGTTTGAGACAGAATGATACCGATAAATTGCAATCTAACACGAAAAAACAAATAGACATAAAAGAATAAAACCAAAGTGGACTGCAATAAGAACAACAGACCAACTCTAGAAAAACATTGGATACTTTTTGTCACAAAAATAAAAAAGTTGTTTAAGAAACTGTCATCATTTATTTGTGCGTTTTCCAAGTTTGTTACAAGAGCGCATTGGCAACTAAAGGAACAGCGCGAAAAGCAGTTTAAAAAATTCAAATAGCTCCATGCAACTCTTGTAACAACCGTTTTTGGCACACTTGAGCGTGCTATTACCACCCACATTTAAGAGTTTCAAACAGCCGTTGCTCGGAGTGATTGATACTAATTCACGAACACATGTTCCCTACCGTAATTGTACAAGCGAGTGAGTGAGTGAGTTTAGCTTTACGTCCCTTTTAACAATATTCCAGCAATATCACGGTAGGGGACACCACAAATGGGCTTCACACATTGTACCCATTGTCTTCGACGTGACGAGTGAACGCTTTAACCACTAGGCCACCCAACCACCCCAGTAATTGTACAAGTGACTTTGCAGTTTGCAGATATTTATTTTACATATGGAAAGGGTTTGCAGGTTTTTTTTAGTATATTTCAAGAACCTTAACAAGGACATCCTATTGTGTTGTAATGCGATATCAAGTGTGTCATCCTTTTTGGCAACTATCCTGGCTTGCCAAGACCAAAGGCTATCACTGAACATTCGCATTCCACAGCAACGACTTCACACATTGCGCCTGTGAAGATCCGGGTTAGAATTGATCTTCAGTAACCCATGCTTAGAGGTCGTAAGCGGCGACTAACGGGATCGGATGGTCAGGCTCGCTGACTTGGTTTTACACATGTCATCGGTTCCCAATTGCGTAGATCGATGCTCATGCTGTTGATCACTGGATTATCTGGTCCCGACTCGATTATTTACAGACCGCTGCCATATGGCTGGAATATTGCTGAGTGCAGCGTTTTATAAGCATCATATCAGTTCTCGAAATAGGTAAACTTGGGTGCTCGGGATTTCTTGGAGCTCCTGATTTTGCCACAAGCTGATAGAACTGCTCACATTTTTCAAAACTGGCAGTGTCAGTTGTCACGGAAACATGACACCATCTACACCAGCAAGACGTTATGACGTCTATGCAGTTTACAGTAACGATAAAGGTTTCAATTAACACAATTTTCGGATTTGTGGGTGTAAATGAGTATTAATGCCCAGACGTTAGGACGTTTTACAACTCCGTTTTACGCCGTCATTCTGAAATGAAATACATAACACAGAACTATTTCCGTGTCTTTAGCCCCATGAATAATTCCGTGTCATAGCTTTCTCATTCATGCAGTGAAACAGCATGATATGCATAAAAACATTGCATCGTTTCAACTATTGCCCACTTGGAAATTGCACATGGTATTCTAAAAGGTATCTTACTTCAGCCTCCCGTGAAGAATGGATCTTCAGTAACCCATGCTTGTCGTAAGAGGCGACTAACGGGATTGAGTAGTCAGGCTCGCTGACTTGGTTGACACATGTCATTGTATCCCAATTGCGTAGATCGATGCTCATGCTGCTTATCACTGGATTGTCTGGTCCAGACTCGATTATTTACAGACCGCCGCCATATAACTGGAATATTGCTGAGTGCGGTGTAAAACTAAACTCACTCACTCACTCATATTTCAGCTGTTTGCTATGCTGCTGCTGCTCCGGGAGAGGAAGAAATGCCTCATCACTTCCGGGGTGATGTTTACCTTCTGGCTGCTGCTCACTCTGGTTGACTTCATCCCCTTCTACTCCATCATCATCATACAGAATTATGACAATATTTCAGAACTTATTGAAGTATCCCAGGCAACCATAGGACAATCGTCAAGTAAAGATAAACATTCTTCGCCGATGTTTGGTGGAATGATAAATGTGACAAGCCTACATTTGGGTTTGCCATTGTTTCCCAGTGACCCGGATGCTCTGGTTGGAGTAACGACAATCACTATAGATAGCCTTATTGATTTATATTCCTCCCCTTGCCTATACTTAGTTCATTTTGTCCAGAGTGATTGAATGAGTGTGCATGGTTTTACGCGGCTTTCATCAATATTCCACCAATGTCACGGCGGGGGACAACGGAAATAGGTTGCACACATTGTACCCATGTGGGGAACTGAACCCGGTTTTCGTCGTGACGAGCGAACGCTTTAAGCTCTAGGCTACCTCACCACCCTTTGACAGGAGCTAATACACCATCAAAAGGGTGCTAATGCACCATCTGTGTTATTGCTTATAAAGCATTAACACTATCAAGTGTTTGCGAATATGCACTGGTGCCTTTGCAACTACCCCGGTTTCAGCTCTCCAGGTTGAACGTTTAGAAATCCTTCGTGAACTCCTCTAAAATATTTTCTAAAACTGTAATCTAAAACCAGTCATATTTCAGCAAATGATGTTGTAAAAGAAAATGTTCAGAAACCTGCTGCTAATCATGGAGTTTTACAGTGCAACCCAGTTGATTCCTCTGCACCTCCAGATATTGATCTTCGTCTGCATCTGAAGCATGTCGTTGTTATGACATGATTAAACACATATCATAAATAAAATGATTACCGGACAAATACCTCCCCACCCTCCCGGGCGGGCTTGAGTTTGGTTTTACGCCGCTTTTAAATATTCCAGCAACATCACGGCGGGGACACCAGAAATGGGCTTCACACATTGTGCCCATGTAACAAGACGAGCCAATGATGCCAGTCAAATCACACGAGACCCGCCCCATGATCCCACGGACATGATCAAAACTACAAGAAATAATAGCAGTCAAATAACACTAGACCCTCCCCAAGATCCCACGGACATGATCAAACTACAAGAAATAATACCAGTCAAATAACACGAGACCCGCCCCATGATCCCATGGACATGATCAAACCACAAAAAATAATACCAGCCAAATAACACTAGACCCGCCCCATGATCCCACGGTCATGATCGATCCACAAGAAATAATAGCAGTCAAATAACACTAGACCCGGCCCATGATCCCACGGACATGATCAAGCTACAACAAATAATACCAGTCAAATAACACTAGACCCGCCCCATGATCCCACGGACATGATCAAGCCACAACAAATAATACCAGTCAAATAACACTAGACCCGCCCCATGATCCCACGAACATGATCAAGCCACAACAAATAATACCAGTCAAATAACACGAGACCTGCCCCATGATCCCACGGACATGATCAAACTTCAAGAAATAATAGCAGTCAAATAACACTAGACCCGCCCCATGATCCCAAGGACATGATCAAGCCACAACAAATAATACCAGTCAAATAACACGAGACCTGCCCCATGATCCCACGGACATGATCAAACTACAAGAAATAATACCAGTCAAATAACACTAGACCCGCCCCATGATCCCACGGACATGATCAAACCACAAGAAATAATACCAGTCAAATAACGCTAGACCCGCCCATGATCCCACGGACATGATCAAACTACAATTTAAGAAATAATACCAGTCAAATAACACTAGACCCGCCCCATGATCCCACGGACATGATCAAATTACAAGAAATAATATCAGTCAAATAACGCTAGACCCGCCCATGATCCCACGGACATGATCAAACTACAATTTAAGAAATAATACCAGTCAAATAACACTAGACCCGCTCCATGATCCCACGGACATGATCAAACTACAAGAAAGTAATACCACTAAAATAATGCCAGACAAATATCCACATTTCAGCGAATATGATTTAACCGCAAAAAGATGTTTAACACAAATCAACTAATTTCCGGACAAACACCGCACTACCCTCCCAAGGACATGATCAAACTACAAAAAATAACACAAATCAAACAATTACGAGACAAATACCCTCCCCGCCCTTCAGCGGAGTTGATTATACTACAATAAATAATATCACAACAGTACTATCTGACAAGCTCACTTCACACTGTAGCATCTCACGTAGTACGTTTCCAACACAACCTTGTCTTGTCGTGACAAATGGCCTCACTGACCTCCTACATTCCTAGACGACGACCTCGCAATTCACGGTCACACTTGCCGTGGTTTCATAATGTATCTGAGAAAGGCTTTAAATAGCCACATTATTTACCGTTGATTCTGTTACAGCTGTATTGTGTTTCATTTTGCCAAATGCATTGTGTCCAGACCATACGATTGTGACATTTAAAACACCTGCATTTCTCATTAATGCACGTCACCTCGTAATACTCGTCCACCTGGCCGACAAACTATTCCAGTCATTCCCCTCCTAACATGTGAACTCTGCGAAAGGGTTGTCGCTGTGCGGAGCTTGCAATCAACCAACCGTAATGTGTTTTCACCGGGTCAGAAATTAGGCCACAAGTTCACAAACATGTAAAATTATTCGCTCATTGGATGTATACCTCCAGCCAGGGAGCTACTATTTAAAAATCCCTCACAATGGTATTGGTGTGTAACGGGACACCGGTATGGGTAAGTACCGTTATACACTATAAAGTTTATGCCTGTTTAAGTTCACATTTATTGCTCCATATGTTATTAGATTATGATATGTAAGTGCTTTATGTACAGTAGGTGAACATTAACAAGTTATTAAGTGTTATTTCTTATGATATGTGGTCGTGATAAGCACATTGTGGGTTTGTTATGCTTACAGTCAAACCCCGGGAATCCGGAAACCCATCTTTCTGGAAAGGATCTGTTTTGACATTTAAGTATGGTAAACATAAAAATATAGACCGGTCCCGTCAAAGCCCTGTCCACAAGCTCCCCTCTCCATTTTGACGTTAAGAGGGGTGGGGAGCGTCTATAGCAGCCGGCGAAACTTGATTGCGCGTGTGATGAATTGAGCTTGTCACTGTTTGGTATTTGTCGTTTTTTACCGAACCTTTAAAAGACAGCTTAGATGTTTTGAGTGCGTAACATATTTAAGTTGTCAAATTGTAAGTGGTGTGTGAAAATTTGGTACTCCTATGTTCAAAGGTTTTATCATTAATATTACACCTTACCTTTTTATTGATCATTGCGTTTTAGTCAATAATGATAATAATTTAGTTTTATGGGATAGAGACTACATCCCTATATGGTATAACTTTTATTAAGGTATATTTCAGTTTACATATCAGAGAGATGAGGTGAAATGGGGTTTATCGTCGCACATAAGAATATTTCGCTCATATGACGACGTGCATGCCAGTAGATGTGTGGCTGCTTCTACTAGCTCAGACTTAATTTGGTTTTATAGTGCCAGCTCACTGAGATTCCATGCCGCAGTTTAGCATGAATACCCAACTCAATTATTGCTCATACCGGTACATGAAATTGCACCTGCTTAGATGCAAATCGTAGGCAGCTGTTCACTAAACATTTACAAATAGATTTCAAATATGCTCCGATATCACACGGTTCTCTTTCTAAGATACTCTCATCCAAAATATTAATGTTGTTCTAAGATGCGGTGAAGTCCTACCAAACGTTTCGAAAAATAATCTGACGCCTTCTGCCATGAGCAAGCCACTCTGCAAGTAAATATGTAGCTCATTTCCAAATAATCATTACCACATCTTAAACAATACGTACAATAACAACATCCTTAATAAACACCTGGGCCCTTATTCTCGAAAAGTTCGTAGCCCTAAGGTTCTTAACTTTGATCGTAGGCAATGTGTTAAGAATGGGCTAAAGGAGTTCATAGTGTTACGAACGTTTCGAGAATAGCTATCCTGCTCCTGCTGAGTCATCAAATATTGCCAACTTTATCAAAATCTGGCGAATAATTTCAATGCAGAAATACATCAAATCTTGGTTAAATATATTTCAATATTCACCTAAGTTTCATAAAAATCAATTGAGAATGATGTCATTTATTCTGGTACAGGGGCTCGATCCACAAAGCGTTTGTAGCACTACGTCATCCGTAATCCTATGATAAACTATACAGTTACGATAGCCCATAACGCTACGTTCGATTCCCCACATGGGTACAATGTGTGAAGTCCATTCCCCAGAATATTGCTGGAATATTGTTAAAAAACTATACTCACTCACTCACTCACTCTTAAAGCATGTGCCTGGCGCTCGGCATTAATGGGTACAACAAGGACTGGTCGGCTCGGAGTCAGTATAATGTGTCTGAGTGGGATATTCATGCTTCACTGCGGCATGTTATCTCAGTGGGCTAGCACTATAAAACCAGCTTAAGTCTGGGCTAGTACAAGCAGTCGCACATACCCATACACACGCATGCACGTCGTCATATGAGCGAAATATTCTCAAGCAAGACGTTAAACCCAATTTCACCTCAACTCACCTCTTAAAGCACGAGCGAACCCACAATGTTTATTCCAAGTGGTTGCAATGTAACCATTTTGTATTTGTTTTCCCAGCTCTAGATCTGCATTTAAATCAATTGTATCTGGTACCTGATCAGGCGAATACGTGATAGTAATCACGATTATCAATAACTTGATGTATATATCAATACTTTTTAAAACTCATTGAAGGTTTTTTAAAAAATATTTTGCTTTATTAATTAAAATGACTTGTTTTTTAACGTTGTGTGGTGTAACAAAAATTCTAAACATATAGTTTTCTCCTTACTGTCATGCTGTCAAATATCCCAGTAATTCGCTGCTCTTCTCGCTTTATTTTCCTGTCTCTTCTAACTTTGAACTGATCTTTCCATCCACAGGAATGGAATCAGCTAATGATTCAATACGAGGTCCCGCCTCTTCAGAGAAATGTTTAAATATTCCATGTATGGTTTCATACACACTCACATAAATTAAACTGAAAGAATTTTCATGATCGAAAACCGTTGACATTGACTATTTTTCTATTCTTAATAAATTATATCTACTGAAATATTTCGCTAAAGCTGCATGTGTAGCTTCTCTGTTCCCGGCTTAGGCTGTATGTGTAGTGTCTCTGTTCCCGGCTTAGGCTGCATGTGTAGCTTCTCTGTTCCCGGCTTATGCTGCATATGTAGCTTCCCAGTTCCCGGCTTAAGCTGCTTGTGTAGCTTCACTGTTCCGAGCTTAGGCTGCATGTGTAGCTTCACTGTTCCCGGCTTAGGCTGCATGTGTAGCTCCTCTGTTCCCGGCTTATGCTGCATATGTAGCTCCCCGGCTTATCTCTGTTCCGGCTTATGCTGCATGCTGTTCCCAGCTTAGGCTGCATGTGTAGCTTCTGTTCCCAGCTTAGGCTGCATGTGTAGCTTCACTGTTCCCGGCTTAGGCTGCATGTGTAGCTCCTCTGTTCCCGGCTTAGGCTGCATAGCTTCTCTGTTCCCGGCTTAGGCTGCATGTGTAGCTTCTCTGTTCCCAGCTTAGGCTGCATGTGTAGCTTCTCTGTTCCCGGCTTAGGCTGCATGTGTAGCTTCTCTGTTCCCGGCTTAGGCTGCATGTGTAGCTTCTCTGTTCCCGGCTTAGGCTGCATGTGTGCATGCTTCTCTGTTCCCGGCTTAGCTGCATATGCTAGCTTCCCGGCTGTTCCCGGCTTAGGCTGCATATGTAGCTTCTCTGTTCCCGGCTTATGCTGCATGTGTAGCTTCTCTGTTCCCGGCTTAGGCTGCATGTGCTGCATTCCCGTTAGGCTGCAGCTTCTCTGTTCCCGGCTTAGGCTGCATGTGTAGCTCCTCTGTTCCCGGCTTAGGCTGCATGTGTAGCTTCTCTGTTCCCGGCTTAGGCTGCATGTGTAGCTTCTCTGTTCCCGGCTTAGGCTGCATGTGTAGCTTCTCTGTTCCCGGCTTAGGCTGCATGTGTAGCTTCTCTGTTCCCGGCTTAGGCTGCATGTGCTTCTCTCTTCCCGGCTTAGGCTGCATGTGCAGCTTCTCTGTTCCCGGCTTAGGCTGCATGTGTAGCTTCTCTGTTCCCGGCTTAGGCTGCATGTGTAGCTCCTCTGTTCCCGGCTTATGCTGCATGTGTAGCTTCTCTGTTCCCGGCTTAGCTGCATGTGTAGCTTCTGTGTTCCCGGCTCATGCTGCATGTGTAGCGTCTCTGTTCCCGGCTTATGCTGCATGTGCAGCTTCTCTGTTCCTGGCTTAGGCTGCATGTGTAGCGTCTTTGTTCCCGGGTTATGCTGCATGTGCAGCTTTTCTGTACCCGGCCTATACTGTATGTAGCTTGTCGGTTTATGCTTCATGTGTTCATGTAGCTTCTCTGTTCCCCGCTTATGCTGAGCGTGTAGCTCCTCTGTACCCGACCTATGCTGCATATTTAATGTTATCGACTATTTGCTGCATGTCTACTCTGAAATCCTTCTGTTCTAGGACACAAACCTGACCTGGTACAACGCATGGCCTCAGTTCACAGACTGCTTCCAGTCAACGGTGCTGGTGTGGATGCCGTGTGGGTGGCTGTGGCTGACGTCGCCGTTCTACTTCTACTACCTCATGAACGTCACACCGACATCGCTGTCATCACGATATAAATATATAGCAAAGACGGTAAGCTGTAATACCCATGGTTTTTAACAAACGTTTCATCACGATACAAAATAACAAGTAATGTGTAGCAACACAGTTTTTTAACGATCGATACATCACGAAAAAGCAGTAATAATGTTAATGATAATTTGTTTGAGTAAGTATTCTCGCCTGTAAATATTCTGTAAGTCTGGACCAGACAAGCCTGTGACTGATATTGTGACAAACAATCCATGATCAACTAAATCACCCACCATGACCCACCTTATCCATTAAATTCCCTCTTTCGATCAACGTCAGGTGGTTGAAGTCTTGTCAAATTCGGAATCCCCTCGGGGAGCAATGTGAAGACATTAATGAGGGGGGATTATGGATGTTTATTTCTGTAATATGAAGCGTTTCGGAGTTTATTCTTACTCACTCATCAGGTGAATGAAAGCTAGGAAACGGGTAGCTTTGTATGGAAATGTGAAACCCCAAAGGAGTCACAATTGTATAATTAGTCACAATTGTACAATCGACTCTGCTTTTATCAGAGATTTCTTATGAATGTGGAAAGGGTTTGTCTCTTCTATTATTATTTATTATTATATTATAGGATATTTAGGACTCTTTCAGTGTTGTCACAACCCCAAGTGTACAGTACACAACACTGTGCACTTAAAAGAACCCACGAATCCGTTGGTATATGACCAGATGGTGGCCACATGAATGCGTGCAAACACCTAGTTGCGGGTACAGCAACGTGCAGTGAACTTGGACAAAGTACTGTGACTATGTGTCCCAGTCAACCCAGCTGTGAATGGGTACCTCGTAAGGATGAGAAAACCGCAATAACTAGTGGCTGCAAGAGTTGTATGCTCCCCCGGGAGTTGAGATTGATAATACGATGTGCCGTTGAGATTGACATCCAGTAATCGAGGGGAAAAAATGTCAGCGCCTTGAGCATGTATCAGATACATGGATATGTGCGCGATATAAATATCGTATAATAATAATTATACTACACAAGTTGACAATATATACCGACCCTTTACCCAAATGATTATGCATGAATGACACAGTCCATTACGTTCCACCCGTGGAGATCCGGGTAAGACTTGGTCTTCAGTAATCCATGCTTGTCGTAAGAGTCGACTAACGGGATCGGGTGGTCAGGCTCGATGACATGGTTGACTGCCCAGTTACGTAGATCGATGGATTGTCTGGTCCAGACTCGATTATCTACAGACCGACGGTATGCAACTGTAACATTGCTGATGCGGCGTTGAACACTATTCACTCACTCCCTGACAATACGAATTCCTCCGAAACGTTCTTCTTTTGACTTTCAGATACTGTGTTCATGCCTCGTCATGCTCTCTGTCATACGACTCATCTACGCTGCAGACAGTTACAACACCAGGACATTCTCTGCCTTCTTCATCGCGCCTGCTGTCCAGACAGTTACCTTTGTAAGACAAGAAAAAACAAGAAGGAAGAGCTTTGTTCATACAAGAAATATTTTTATCCAAAATCACATTGTTTGCTTCCTGTACAAATCATGGGTGAAGAGTTGATTAACGAGTCCTGCATTTAAATCAAATTAATCTGATACCTCGTCAGGTGAATATTTGATAGGAATCATTATCAATAACTTCATGAAAGTATACTATATATAAATACTTTTCAACGTTTTCTAAAGTGTGTATTGAAATACCTTGCTCTATTTATTAAAATGACAAATGTTTCCAAAAGCTGCGTTGTATCACCTGAATGAATACCAATATGAAAACATGAAGCAAGACCTTTGTTCATACAAGAAGTAGTTTGATGAAAATATCCCATTTTTTGCTTCCTTTACTAATCATGGGTGTAGAGTTGCGGTCATTTGGCGTTCAAGACAACTGTTGTCATGTATTCAAACCCCTGTTCATCCTGGTAAGATTGTTAGTTTGAAGGCACCATCCAGATGCTTATTTGCTGATTAAATTGGTAAGAACATGCATCACCTTGTGATACTTTGAGCTCCCAAAGCAACCGGACACACCGTGTTAGAATTGTTCACATTCTGCAAAACAAGAGGGAGGATGTTGGGTAGGTCAAATATCCCAGAAGCATATAAAGTGTACCATGACGTATTGACATTCCACCCTGACGCCCTGTCAATGCAGAATGACAATCTAGAGTCAGTCGTTTTGGGTGATAGTGTTAGCAAAACACATTGCCACACTTTGCAGATTTGCCGATGGTGTTTAATATTGATGCCAGAAAGTTTGATACTTCAAAACTGTCTAATGCTGTTGGTTCCAAATGAAATACCATGTGAACATCTTATGTGTTATTTCAGCTGCTTGCTATCCTGCTGCTGCTCCTGGAGAGGAAGAAAGGTCTCATCACTTCCGGGGTGATGTTCAACTTCTGGCTGCTACTCACCCTGGTTGACTTCATCCCCTTCTACTCCATCATCATGCAGGAGGTATTTGGAAGAAATATAATACTATAATTTTATGACTGATCAGAAACAATGATAGTGTTCACATAGAATTCAGAAAGGGATTTTCGTAGTGTCAGAAGCAGAAGAGGCATGTGTTCACCATGAGAAGCATGTTGCACTTCTGGAAGGTGATTCTGTTCCAGTGATCTGTCACTATCAGCTTCACTGTGGAGAAAACTTTCTCCACTTCAGTTGTTGACAGAATTACACTTCATGGACAGACAAAGCATTCACAGTGTTTGGAAACATATTTCCAAGTTAAGGCTTGGGGCAGGTCAGGGTCTTCAGGATGGTTGGTTGTGAACTATAGTCCGTTTGCTACAAAATCGTACGGATGAAACGGCATGAAAGTTAGTCACTTGTCCATACCAAATCGTCACTATATTTTCAGACATGTACATGAAGAAGAGGAAAAGTTGTTTGATAAACGATCATGTAAATATTGGTGTTTTAATGACTGTTTTAACAACTTGGTATGCACAGTAAACAGAACAGCTAAAGCGTATCGCGGAACACAGGGATACTCTCAGAACTTCTAGTCTGAAATGTTTTCTAACTAAATGTTTTCTAACTAAACTAAATTAATCCTTTATTTGACTCCACTCAAGCTGTATCTGGCCCACAACAAGTCCATAGTGCCCTGCCAGCTCACTTATCTAGAAGAGAACAAGTGAACAGATTAAATTATAATGAACAACTATATTTCATTCCAGTTAGTAATATACATTAAATTAGGTGATACCTTGCTAATTTTGAGGCACCAAATTCTGTCCATGAGACGATAAGGGGGCGATACAAACAGCTATGTGGCAAGTTATGTTTGATCAGGAAGAATAGCAATTCTGTGCATCCACCAGCATGGCAGTATTCTGTTCTGTGTAGTTTGAGAAAATACCCTGATTGGACACTGCTTCATCCTTTTCCATAAGGACTGCATCTTGATACGTTTGTGAATTTTCATGAAGGAAATCTTTAGAGTCTCACATCAAACTGCTGTCCAGATCTGTTATCCATTTCTCCCCATGCCGTTCCAATTCGTGTACAGCGACCAAAACATCTCGACCTTCCTTTCGTCGTCTTCATTTGTTACTGAATATTTCAATCAGGGACAGGTCTTGTGACTAGCATCTTTCTTCTTGTTAGTTGGTTTCACCGACTCGTGTACCCTTGTGTTTCCATACTAGGAAAGTACCTGTGACTCATCTAATTTTGGTCTGGAAAGAAATCAAAGTTAATGTACCATACTCAAATTATACTTGGATATGAATATTGATATGGAAATGAAATTACAGAAAATATGCATATGAGTATCATAGCCATTGTGAAGTGCTTCTCAGTTTTAATTCGTTAAATAGATCTAATCCTTAAAGACATTTTTGTTCCATTAAATCACAACTTCAAATTTAACAAACTTGGCCAGCTTTTCAACGATAACTACCTATGCCATTTGAATTATATTATTGGGCAGGACAAACGCAAATACAGCACAAGAATAATTTTGGATTGCCGATTGATTCAGAATGGCGGACATGTTGAGTTACAGTATTTCAAATAAACAAGACAAGGAATCTCGGACACAAAAAACACATACAAATAAAAAACACGTGGTCCTTAAATCGTTTTCTTTATTTCATATATGGTTAGCTTTAGATGAGATGTGAAAAGGAAAATTGAATCGACGATCTAAGATTCAAGGACTGAGACTTAGAGGTACATACCGGTTTGTAGACGACATTTCCTAGTGTTAGCCTTCACAGCTTCTTCTCTTTTCTACCCGTGAAGGTCCGGGTTTGAATATTGATCTTCAGTAACCCATGCTTGTCGTAAGAGGCGACTAAAGGGGTCGGTTGGTCAGGCTCGCTGACTTGGTTGACACATGCCATCGGTTCCCAATTGCGTAGATCGATGTTCATGCTGTTGATCACTGGATTGTCTGGTCCAGACCCGATTATTTACAGACCGCTGCCATATAGCTGGAATATTGCTGAGTGTGGCGTAAAACTAAACTCACTCACTCTTCTCTTTTCCTCTTGATTCTACCATTGTGCTCCAAACCGCGAATTTATCCTCCTAGACATTAGCATGCTTTAAAATCGACCTTCCTAATTAATATCAAAACAATCTTGCGTCTCCTCAGGAAAAGGAGAACACTTAGCTTAGTTAAAATCCGGAATATACAGGCGTAAAATCCGGAATATACAGGCGTACAGCCGCAATAAAATATGCCATGAAGTGAACTGAAAAGGGCAGGGTGACAAATATGAATCGGATTATCTGTTCGGACAGACAAAATTGAAATTTGACTGAAAAGTCTGCCTTCTAAAACAGGATATATATCAACGGTCTGAAAACCATTTCCCTTCCTATGGTTTTCCAGCCTGATCTTACTTAACACAGGCCTGTTAAAACAGCATAATAATAATAAAAAAAGACCAGAGGGAAGATTTCAAAGTTTCCAACAGCTGACTTTCCCTTTTGTCACGCCATATTCTTTGATATCTATATTTTACAAATCTCGGTGTACACCCGAGCATGCTTTTTCTGAGATTTCAAACAGCGTCACATGAATCAAAAGTTGTTTTATCTGGGTTTAATATCCAAACTGCCGCTATGTTTCAGCAATACGAGCAAAACATCCGCAAAGATGTATTCTTCTACATATACTATGGGCTAGTATTGTCAGAGCTGATCCTGAGCTGTTGTGCAGAGACGTCTTCAGAATTGACTACCCAGAACAAGGTATGACCTGGAATATTCGGCACGGTGTACAAATGCATATCCTTACAGACACGTTCTCCTCGTCATCTGAGCCTGTTCATATTGATAAATAATAATAAAGAGAATATTTATAACGCGACTTTGCCAGGTTAGATATCCTGCTCAAAGCGCACAGTCTGATCACGCCGGATAACCCAAGCTGCATGTCAGGCGCTAGAAGGTTAATAGTCTCACGACTTATTTCACCGAGTACCCATTTTCTGCTGAGTGAACAGAGGCAATTTTGAACAAACGCATTTGCCTTATGTGAGACCACATGTATCACACGTGCTTCGTTGTGGGTAGAACTGAAGTCCTAGACACTCTCAGGAGTCAAGCTGTCACACACGGTCACCCATCCAAGGACTCTCTGCGCCCAACGTTGCTTAAATTCAACTGATTGTGGCCTCATCATGAGTCTATGCACAAGGACCCGACGCCACCACCATATTACTTTAATAGCAACAAAACCTTTTCCATACTGACAAGACATCTGGAATCTATTACAGGATTCAAGCAATGTTCAATATAGTTATCTGAATTACCCATTGTAACAAACATATAGCTCTACCTTATGCTAAAAACTGATGTACTACAGGAACAATATTAACTTTAATAGCATATGAATTGGAGATCCATGTTGAAGTGGATCAGCAGGAATCCATATTTGGTGTCACTGACTTGGCTGATGTATCTAATGGTATTCGGTAGATCGATGCTGATGATTTCAACCTCTGTATTATCTGGCCCAGAAGCGATTATTGAGAGTTACCTCGCATATAGCCGGAATATTGCTGAGTGGGGTGTAAACAAGTACATAAAACACAAGATACTCGTACCTGGTCAATTTTCAAACTGCCTGACTAAATACCTACATTGTATCATTCCTTCATACTTCCAGAAACCGTGTCCTGAACTGAGCGCTTCCTTTCTCTCAAGGATCACCTTTTGGTGGATGAACAGGTGACACTACATAACATTATATATGCAGTTGTAGAAGTTGCCTTAATTGGATATTGTTTGTGTTCGGTCATAGTTAATTTATTATGTGTGGGATGAAGCTTGACTCTTTGGTTAAGTTTCTTGCTGTTATCGGAGAGAAGAAGCACAGTGAACCTCTGAGGCTTCCATTCGGTTTGATATTGGATATCTAGTTTAGATACCGCCAATAAAATACTTGTGTTGGAACACTTCGTGAAATGTGTCAATATCGAGGGAGAAATGCGCCAACTGGCTGATTTCTTCCCCACTCTCAAAAAATCTAAAACATTATTCTATTGTTTCATCTGGTTCGGTTAAATGCATACTATCATCAAAATTCAAACAGTTTGCCTCTTGGTATAAATTCCTGTTTTCCTTCATATATGAAACTGTAATTCTGACATTGTTATTTTTAATAGCTTATTAATGAGAGGATACCGGAAGGCTTTGACAGAAACCGACATCGGTGATATGCAAATAGTGGAGCGGCAAAGATCATGTTTTCATAAGAATTGTGCATTTGATGATAAAAGCACCAAAATTGGTAATCATGTAAAAGAACATTTCTGACATAATTTCAGATATGGAGGCACCTCAAATTTTGTATCTTATGCGCATGCGCAGTACATAAACTTTGACATACTATTTTCAGCGTTTCTCATTAAATCTTTAATATTACCATTCATTACACACCTATAATTTTCATAAATAGTGATTTACAGGTTCATGAAATGACAAGAAATACATAATTTTAGAATAATACAAAACATTTCGAACCAATGAACAACCCCTTTTCCCTAAATGGCGGCTAGCAGATAGCTTTTGGGACCATTGAACTCTTCGAGAAAATGTGTTATGCTTGGGATTTATCGGATTAAAATTGACTGAAAATGAACATAATAAGTGGCAAAAGAAATGCAGTACAATAAAAACTAGAATCATCAGAAGATGACAAATCCCTCCGGCCCCGATACATTTGAACGCACAAATCATCGAACAGTTACTTATTAAAGTCCAACTTGATTTTGTTTATTCATCATTTCCAAGGAAAACGTCTTGGATATGTTCAACAATTAAAAATCTATGTGAACTTCATGGCTCTAGGGCAAGAAAGGGAGATACTTTAGATTGTCTTTTGCAAGGGAGCAGTCATTTTTCCGGTGCAAATCATTGGTTTTATTGTTTATTAGCCAATATTGTGACCAAGCTTCTGACCTCTTCACTCTCTCATATTAGTGACAACAGGGTTAGCCTCACACCATGAAGGGTCAACATCAATCTACGATGACAAAAAACCGCTAACTTGGATTGCAGACAGGTTACCCACAGCTTCCCCATTGAAGGATCGTCCCCATTCACCTTACCACCAACTGGAGCAACTTTGCAAGTCACCAAGAACCAAAGCTACCAGAATGCAGGGTCTTCCCGGCTTGCTCAGCTTGATACTATTATCAGACGAGTCTTCCTGGGCCTCACCATGTCCAGATCCATCAACGAGGTGATGATATCACACTTCAAAGATCCACAGTCCGACAAAGAACTATGCGTTTGTCCATGGTCAACCAGCAGAAGTATCAGGAGTCTATCTCCGACCACATCTGCTCAGCATCGGCGTGAGTCACCTTACTACTTAGACAAGGAAGTACTGGCCAATCTTAACGAACAGATATAACATGACGCCACCGCTCCACTCTATCTTCCGCAGATAGACTATGCAGAAACCCTACAACCCAGCTCACAGATGTGATAGAGTCATTTCTATCCAAAGAAGTAATAGAAGTTATACCTCAAGAGGCACTTGACCTGGGGTTCTGCTCCCCAATTTTCTTGGTTCCCAAGAACGATTTATCAGAAAGTCCAGACTAATATGAAGACGTTCAACAACGATTATTTATTGAAGGCAGAGAAGTTCAGAATTCTCCACCTTCTACAACTGAAGCAGATGATGAGACAGAACAACTTTCTGGCAAGCATAGATTTAAGGATGCATATCTGCATATGCCAATCCATCCAGGATCCAGAAAGTATCTACGATTCCTGTTCAACCATAAAAAAATATCAGTGGAATGTTCTACAGTTTGGCATTTTCATGGCCCGTGGTTATTTACACAGGTAACCAAGCCCATCGTGAGCTTCCCAGGAAATAATCTCAAAAACGTAACATGAGGACTGTAACAACAATCAAACCTTAACTATTACAGAATTACCTAAAATAATGATGCTTTATGGATTATCTGTGATGAGTGAATACATTTTAGGAGTTTTCTCAAAATCATACATAGACAAATAATTCCGAGTTGCGTTTCCTGATCTAACAGAGGTATTGGTTCAGTTATCGATTTTTTAATTGACGTCATAAACAATGGAGGACGTATTTTAAAAAGACTGATTCTGTGTCTACAAGTTTTGAAAAGTTGCCATCAACATACTTGGACATAATCTCGTGGTCCTGGGTGCAATGTCTTTTCAGTGATATTTGTGATTCTGAGCATTATTAGTCTATCTCTCCATGACGATTTCATAAATTCCCTCATTAACTGAAAGCTTTTTGGAAAAAAACAACAACATAATTTCCATATGGAAGCCGTTGCAATTCATCAGTTTCGGGCCTAACATACACACTAAATCCGTTTTGTGGCACTTTGAAATAGAAATTCCTTACTAGGTTTTGCCGAAATATCTTGACGCCCTTATTACATGATGCAGTATTAAATCCCTTCCAATGTGAAGATTTGTTTTTCAATATTGTGACCACTTATGCCTTTCTTTTTGAAGCTTTGTCTTAAAATCGACCTCAGGAACCGAATGATTTCATAACTCATAACTTGATATGGATGAGAAAATGTGAATTTTGTATTTAAGTTGTGTTCGCAGAGCTCACACCAGGGACAGAGACAAGAAAGTGTTACGTTCTAAAACACTTAACGATTCAGTCATTCTGGATGCTGTTCATGAAAAGACTCCTTTGCTTACGAAAGATAAACCGATGAAGATGAAGGAGCCGGATTTGACATCCAATAGTAACAAAGTGTCCCTAACAAGGATACTGTGGAGGACTTTCTGGTTCGACGTGTTACAGTTTCAGCTATGGAGACTTGTGAGCGATCTGATTAAGTTTGTGAGTCCTTTGATACTTGGGTACGTAGTGCTGCCAGTTTTTGTTCTTCAGCCGCCCACTGTTGTGCTTTACTATGTGTGTGATTGTGTTCATTACTCAAACCCATATAGCTGGAATATTGCTGACTGCAGTGTTAAACAACAAACAAACCAAAAACATTACTCAACCAAACATTGTTATGTTTTACAATTTCCAAGGAGCCAGTCAATACGAAAGGAGCCGCACACAACATCCTATCGCATTCATTTGTCAAACTTAAAGACATGTGCATGTCACAGATAAAGTTCCTTCCTGTCTTGCAACCTTTATATAATAATAATCAGGTTGACCACAACACAAAAGTGTCACCACGCTTATGTCCAACTGAAATTAAAACATACATGAGACATTAAAAAATGAGAAAATGAAAGCTTGTGTTGTAAAATGTTGTTGTCCCTGCGACTTGTGAAGCCAAGCATGCATCATCGTTAGTGACATTTGCTTTAATTAATTTACTGTATTTCGTTTAGTGTTTTCCAGTATGTATTGTGCTCATTGATGTTAAGGATATATTTTCATTTACAGATTCAGAAACATACACTTTATCTTGGTCAGGAGGATCAAAACTGTTTATGTGGAACCCAAATAACAGTTTTTAGAATATCGGTCAATTTCAACAAAAGATATAATATATACATATTGGGTTTTTTCAAATGATTGAACACCCCAAAGCACCAAATGGTGTACCCACAGTAAAGTACATTCATATTGATAAGTATTTATTACAGCCTACTCATCACCTTCACGACAGACAAGACAATACCCACGTGGAAGGGCTATGTGTTGTGTGCCATCCTCTCGTTCACCACATTAACTAAGACAGTCTTTTCTCAAGCCAGCTGGTACCAGGGGAGAAAAGTGGCACTACGGATTTCTGCTGTCACCATATCTGCAATCTATAGAAAGGTGTGTACTCTCACTAAGTACGTATACTCCCACCAACTTGAAGTATTTAACGTGATATCAATCTTAATTTTAAACCAAATAAAAAAGCGTAAATAAGTGTATCCATGGAATGCACTCTAGAGTTGTTTAGAGACCACACCTAGACTTGTGGGTTTCAGTGGTGACTGCTATCATCATCTATTCCCCACATACAACTGGCACGCCATAACATGACCATGGATGTTAACTCACGACACATGTAAAGTTGTCTTTTTTTCATAAATATCTTCCAGTCCTTGAAGATGAGCAACAAGGCCAAGAAAGAGTCTACAATAGGTGAAATTGTGAACCTGATGTCTGTGGACGTAGAGCATTTGCGAACGTTCATATTCTATATCTGGGAATCATGGTCACAGCCTCTGAAAGTTGTCATTTCCCTGTATCTCCTGTACCAGTTTCTTGGAGCCTCTATGTTTGCTGGGATGGCGGTTTTGTTTGTGTTGTTGCCCGTCAACGGTATTACTACTTTACTGTGGAAGAAGTTTCAGGCTGAACTGATGGAACAAAAGGACAAGAGGATGAAGATCACGAATGAAGTACTCAGTGGAATAAAGGTAGAAGTAGGACATCTAGTAGTCTGTCACACATCAGAAATTCAGACAGGACTCTAACGATACAAAGATGCTCTTTTCTGCTTCATTTCATGTGAATGAGAACGTCAAGTCGTATTTCACAGAGATCTGTGTGATTAGTGAGATTCCAAGTGGAATATACCTGCATGTTTTATGTTCCAGATTCTAAAACTATACGCCTGGGAACCGTCTTTCCAACAGAGGATCCTTGAAGTCCGGAAACAGGAGCTGCACATTCTGTGGAAGATCTCCCTAATGCAGGTTTTCACCACCTTCTCCTGGGCGCTGACTCCCTACCTCGTACGTCAACCAACTACCATTACAACACACTTATGTAATGCTTTATGCGTGACAGCATTGAAGAAAGTCCTACCTTGTATGTTTATCAACTATCATAACAGCATACTAGTGTAATTCTTAATGTGCGATACTATTAAAGAAATCATTGTCTGGTATGTCTATCAACTGTCGTTACCTCACACGACTTTATACCGTGTGAGGCATGTGGATGTAATAACGCCTTCATGCCAAATTAATTTGCATTGTTCTATAAATATATATACTCAGTGATAACTATCTCGTGACTTAAAGATTAACAGAAAGCTTCATAAACTGTTTTCTATAGTTGTTTAAACAACTGAATTAGCTAGATTAAATCAGGGCCACAATCTCAAAGACATCAATTATAGCTGATGACATCCACCATGCTTCAATGATGGCAGTTTATGTAGATCAACGTATTCCCACACCAATCACATTTGCTGTGATGCGTGATCATTATTATAGTATTAAAGGAATAGTTGATATATTCATCAGTGTGCTGATACTATACCTTGGGAATGATTTGTATATTTTGCAGGTGTCGTTGGCTACGTTCACGACATATATCGTCACATCTGAAGATCACTATCTGGGACCCGATGTCGTCTTTACCGCCATGTCACTCTTGAGCATCCTGAGACAAGCGGTCGTCAGTTTACCTTCTTTCGTTTCAGATTTAGTTCAGGTAATTGGCATTCTTATGAAAATTGTGCTGATTTACTATTGAATGTCTTTGTATATCCTGGTCAAACAGAAATAGTAGACGCACTTGTACTTCTCATCTGATCAATGCTTCATGGTTAGTTATTTTAAAATTTCAGGCTTTTGTGTCAATGAAGAGGATAACAAAGTTCCTCAATACTGACGATTTGGACGAGACACAGATACATTTTAACTCCACACAGGGTAGGTAATGGTTTACAAATTACATGATGTGACATCATGAAACTGAAACTTCATGTGATATTTTGGGGTGGCTTGGGTTGGTGAGAACTGGGATGAAAAATTACTATCTGGAAAGAACCTTGCCTTGGCTGGTTCTGTAACCGGATGAGCTGGTGAAAAGGAGACGAATTAATATTTGCATTGAAGCAGTGGTAAAACACATATTTTTTCTCTATCATATGTCCAACACCATACTTCCTCCAAGATGCCAAGGAACTTGTTTGTTCTAAACTAGTCAGTAGAATGCATGTCGTATTAATGTTCTATTCCAATGGCACCATTGAGCCATAAGGATAATGCGTGTATGTTGAGAGAGTAATGATGAAATATCTTCTCCATTTCTTCACACACAGATTCACTATCGAAAACAGATCCTGCACTGAAGATTATTGACGGGTGTTTTCGGTGGACATCTGAATTCGGACCGGCTCTCACAAAGTAAATAGACCATATACATTTTATGATTTTCCCAAATATAATTTGACACTCCTACTCGGAATTTAAACAGATATGGATTTATTTCAGCTGCCATAATACAACAAAACGAACTTTTCTTTTCAGTATCAACTTGACAATCGACGAAGGTCAACTTGCAGCAGTCGTAGGTCAAGTTGGATCAGGAAAATCTTCTCTTTTATCTGCAATATTAGGCGAGATGAACAAGGTCAACGGCTATGTCAGTCTAAAGGTGCATATTTTCGTTCATAGCTCTTATTGTGTTGGACATAGAAACCAAGTCAAATAGTTACGCTTGCCGTATTACACACAAGTCGTTCGTATTTCCTGGCAGAGTCACATTGCCTACGTGCCACAAGTTGCGTGGATCCAGAACGACACCCTGCAGAACAACATTCTGTTCGGGAAGCCCATGGACAGACATTGGTACAACAAAGTAGTGGATTGTTGCGCTCTGACTCCGGATCTGGAGATGTTACCAGCCGGCGACATGACAGAGATTGGGGAGAGAGTGAGTTTCTCTTGCGTTTATTCTACAGAAGAATTGGCCGTCAACATTATGTGTGCTTATCATTAGGCTCAGTCTTCATCTGATCGCATTACTGTTGTAGAAAACTAGCAATTTATCATTGTTTGCTCCCAAACTGCCTTCATTTTTGGAAGAATTGTTGACTACAGAATGGAATAAACCATTTGGACATTCGTCGGTTGTATTAAAAGGGCACTAAGGGAAGCGGCTATGATTGAGTGTGAAAGTGTAGCGAGAAGAGGACAGAAGCAGAGCCCGTGCTGTCTACAACGTTGTGGTTTGTCTGTTGTATTAGTTTCCTCTCTTGTCGTCAGGGTATCAACTTGAGTGGAGGACAGAAGCAGAGAGTGTCTCTAGCTAGAGCTGTCTACAACGATGCGGACATCTATCTGCTGGATGATCCACTCAGCGCTGTTGACAGTCATGTAGGGAAACATATCTTTGACAAGGTCATCAGTAGACAAGGATTGCTTGCTGGCAAGGTAGGAACGTCCCACACTATACATTAATCAATCGATTTATAAAATGTGATCCTCTTGAGCAATATACAACAGCCACAATTTTCCGCCATTTTGCAAATTGACTAAACACTTTTCTTTTACGCATATAAGTATGAAGAGGCTCAAAAGGGCTCAAAACATCCGAACTGACTAATATTGATATTGAAAATTCACATCAAAGTTCGTTTTGTGTATGAAAACCAAATGTTACATATTTTTCTTGAGTAGAATTTGCATGTGAAACTATACACATGTTGCGCTCTATGAAGCCTGTTATTGGTCTCATCTGCCTTGCTGTTCAAAGATGCTGCTAAAGCAGCCAAAGGCAATGCTCATTTCCTTGCCCAGCCACAAGAATATGCACTAATGTCTTTCACCTGTCCCATCCAGACTCGTGTCTTGGTCACTCACGGCATCCACTGGCTCCCAGAGGTGGACTCCATCCTTGTGATGACCCGTGGTCAGATATCAGAGACAGGGACGTATGAGGAGCTTCTGCACCATAACGGACCCTTTTCTGAATTCCTGCAGAAGTATCTTCTTGAGAGCATTGATTCCGGTATCACCGATCCCGAATGTAAGTTGGACATTCCACAGGTAGTCCGTACGTTTGTAATAAAAATGAGTGGAAGTTTACATTATTCTGATAATATCATATAAAAGGTTATTTTCTAAATTACATGTACCTCACTTTCCCATTGGTATGTACCCAGTAACTGAAATACAGAAGAAAGTTCTCCAGCGCCTTCGGTCGGTAAAATACTGGCGAGGAGACAGATGAAGACAGTGTATCTCTAATGTAAGTAAATGTATTCAAACAAAACATAATATATACAATATAAAAACAAAATACCTGGTACAGTTATACCAAATCTGCATAATTGGGTGTTTAATCATTAACATCATTATTGTTGATGATAACAGATTAGTGATTTGCGAAAGGAGGACTATCATCTGACCATCATTGACCCCTGCCACAAACGCTTTCGGAAGCCAAACCTGGACCAACACGGACACATATGGTCTAAGTCTAAGTCGGAACTTGAATCAATTTTGTCAGTGATGTGATACTTTAACATTCTAGATATACCATTTTTTTACTTTGGCATTCAATGCTGACAACCCTATTAAACAATACTTTAGCAAGAGAAGAGAAATCTGGTTTTATATCCATGGCATGAATTTAACTGTTTGACCATAGATGGTATCAGATGATAGATGAACATGGTGCTCATTGGTTTAAGTCCCTTGTTTGCATTTTGCCAAGTGAAGTCCGATTAATTTGTCTAAAGAAACATATCAGAAAAGTGGGAGTGCAGTTCTTACTTCTGTCCTGGATAACTTGTACTCTAATTTAACATAGTTGACTTGAGGGCGTTTACTAATTTCACAGTAAACTGAGAAATTCAATGTTCTGTTGTATTTTCTGAGGTCGCATATGAAGACGGATTTTGATAATTGCTTTTATCATGTTAATCTGTCATATTGACATAAAAATTTGTAAACATATTCACCAGTATTTATACCACTGAAGCATATACTGTGTTGGTGTGTTTAACATTGCAAGTGTTGCAGGAAGTCCCTTGTGGAAAGTACAGAGGTGAAACAAATCAAAGTGCTGAAAGAGAATGAACCTGTGAGAGATAGCAGTAGACTTATAGGGGAAGAGCAGGTGAAGACTGGCAAGGTATGTCGTGATCTCATGTACATCCTCTTATGGTATCACCATAAGGCGTCACCAATGATTTTCAATCCACATCTTTTACAGGCCGCTGTCGCATAGCAGGAATTATGTTGTGTCAGACTGTAAATATTTTCTCTTTTTTTTTGTTGGCAAATTGTGAGGATGGAGCCACATGCTGGCCATGATTGCCGTTGAACTGACCAACAACTATCTTGTTCCAGGTTAAACTGAATGTGTTTCTGGCATACGGCAGAGCTATCGGCCTTTGGACTATATTATTCTCACTCGTCATGTTCGCGTTATTTCAAGCAATGTCAGTGACGTCAAATACGTGGCTCAGTAAATGGACTGACGACAGCTCCCTCAACAACCTCACCATTCTCCCGTCCAACAGCTCAGAGCGAATTGAGAAGAACAATTACTATCTAGGCATCTATGGTGTCTTAGGAGTAGCTCAGAGTAAGACTTGACCGCCATGTGTGATGGAATTTTGTAGTTGTTTCTGTTACGAATATGATTAGGTTCATCCAGCCTAAATTACGTGTTCTTATATATTGTTATAAATGCATGGATGTAATGTATTAATGTTATCAATTATCTTAAGCAGTTACAAGAAACATCTTGTAAAAAATAAATGTGGTTAATGTCAAGCATATTTTATTCGGATCAAAGTTACCATTTACAATATTACCAATTTGACTTTTGATGAACGTTTATATTTACAGCTGTTTTCATCATGACATTTTCCTGTGTGTGGAACCTTAGGACCGTAAAAGCTGCTGGCATTCTCCATACCAACATGCTGAGGAATGTTCTGAGGGCACCGATGTCCTTCTTTGACACCACACCTACGGGCAGGATTGTCAATCGATTCTCCCAGGATATACATACCATCGACACCAGGATTCCGAGTCTGGTGGAGCACACTGGCAACACCATGTTCCGTGTACTCAGCATCATCATCGTCATCTCCTACACCACGCCCATATTCCTCGTGGTTATCATCCCCTTGGTTATTCTGTACTCCTTTATTCAGGTAAAAACTGGTATCCTTGACTGCTGCATTTACCAAAATAAATGGTCGAATATGTTGGTACCGTTAAGAATGTTTCCTTTCTAGTATAGAGGTCACTCATCAAACATTGATTTGAAGTGTTCTTTTCTGTTTGAGATTTTCTTCCGTGTCGTCAGTGAATGGCATACCAAGGTGTTTTCAGGTCTCATGAATCATTTGGCTGTCATCGATTGTTGCAAGTACCATAACAGGTCCACTTATGCTAATACGTTGTGTTTTAAGCAAGTTTTGTTTTTTGTTTTGGGCCTATCATCCAGCATGAATGATCTTTGTAGGCTTTGAAGTGCTCTTCTTTGACATTTATGTTCGCGCCTGCAGTGAATAGTGTAGCATGACAGGGATGTATTATGAATTTACTTGTTCATAAAATCCTTTGTGATATTTACAAAAATCAAGAACCATAGAAGAGATTACAGAGACATATTTGTGATCAGATGATATTCCCTTCCTATTTATTTATTAACTGACACCAAGTAAAACTCAGTCGTACGCGATATCCAGGACCTTTCACAAAGTATACAGTGATCTGAAATCAGTCAATCGAATTAGGGATTTGAACATTTACATCTCCAGAGTCCAGCTCATGTCTGCACAGTTGCATCGTCTTTTGAAGAGAATGGTTTTAGGACAAGATTGAAAGCTGTTCATGTTCTCAGATTATTAGATTATTTAAAACAGGGCATTCCAAAGAAGAACGTTTGCTCTTCTGCATGTTCAGTCCTCTCTGTCGGGGCGGTGGGGTAGCCTAATGGTTAAAGCGTCCGCTAGTCACGCTGAAGACCCGAGTTCGATTCCCCACATGGGTAAAATGTGTGAAGCCTATTTCTAGTGTTCCCCGCCGTGATATTACTGGAATATTGGTAAAAGCGGCGTAAAACCATAGGCACTCAGTCCTCTCTGTCCAGATTGTTTAGCTTATCAGTGAAGTCTTCAAATTCCGTGAAGAATGTATTCATAGTAGTTGACTGTGCTGGTCTGTAAACAACGTTTACATTGCAGATATTTAACTTATAGGGTGTATTTCAAAGGAAGTCGCACAAAGAAATCTGATAACTGAATTCCAGGAAATAATATCACGTCATGACAATTCAAACCATCATATCAACAAATACATGTTTGAGAACTCATATAATATTATAAGACAACAAGAATATTTACATCTTGTTTATGAAGCGCTTCTACGTCACCACCTCAAGACAACTCAAAAGATTAGAGACCAAAGCTCGCTCCCCAATATACAGCCATTTCGGTGATACATTATCAGGAGCCAGTGTTATCAGATCATTCCAAGCCCAGTCGAGGTTCATCAAGGAATCAGAAGACCGGGTTGACAGAAACCAGAGGTTCTCATTTTACGCACTGTGTGCTCTCAGGTATGTGACAAAAGTCATTGAAATCTAGCCAGTTTACAAGCTGACATTCAAGACTAAATCCAAAACAATAGTCACCGAGACCTTGTAAAGAAAGACCAAACATGAATTCATTTGTAGCATAAAACCTTGCTGAAAATACGCCCCACGCTATTAACAGCGTGTTAGCTATGTTTTACACAGTGCTTGTATCTAGGAAAACAAACTGCGTTACAAGTTATAATTCCGCAAATATACTCGGAACATTGTACATGGCATCAATAGCAACACGAACGTTTCTGAAGATACACAAATAGTCTTCAGGAAGTGGTCTTAGCTCTGCATTCGTCATAATATCATGTCCGTGTGTGTGCTGGCATTTAATTTAAAGAGTTGTCTTTCTTATTTAGGTTAACTGGGATCCTATCATTATTGGTTTGAATCCCAGATTAATCCTGATTCTGATTCCTACTTTATCTGCACCATATTTTTGCAGGTGGGCTCCAGTGAAGTAGAAAAAGTCTACCGATCGCATTTGGGGTTTCCTACTTTTATCGTGCATCCCTTTATGGCTTAGTGTAACTGAACTGAAATTGTTTTCACTAAATCAATCATTCGTTTTAAAGAAATGCGTTTCACTTTGTAAACGTGTGTTTTTGACAGATGGCAAGGTGTACGTCTGGAGGTCATCGGAAACATCATCGTTCTGGCCGCCTCCCTTTTTGCCGTCATGTCACGTGACACCCTGTCAGGAGGACTTGTAGGCTTGTCAATCTCCTATGCTTTGGAGGTATGTCATGCCAGGGTAGTATATCCAAGAAATATGTTGTCTTGGTGCTTTAGCCATGTGAATGTGTGTATATCATGTATGGGTGTATTTATACAGGTTCGTACATTTACTTCAGATAACCGCTAACTTGAACTGGTTGGTGCACCTTGTTTCTGAAGTAGAGACACAGCTTGTTTCCGTCGAGAGAGTCAAAGAATACACAGATATAGATTCAGAGGTAAACGCCAAATGCACTTCAAAGAAGCCTTGAATATGTATTCATATGACAATATGCCATCAGTATTATCTTCTGGTATGTTTACATAGCACATCGTTTGGTGAATTTTCTAATCAAGATAAATACTAGCGGTGATTATTATTTTCGTGAATTATACTAGCCACCATGGAATATACCCGAGAGACGTCCATGTCATGACTGGCCAGACGAAGGTGTGGTAAAATTCACAGATTACTCAACGCGGTATAGAGACGGCCTTGACCTTGTACTCGACGGAATCACCTGCACTGTGCATTCCAGGGAAAAGGCAAGTTATTGTAATTACCTTTATTTATAATTATTTTGTGGCTTTTAAGGATGCATTAAAAAATTGAGAAATGCAAAACATTTGAAATGTAACCTGTATCGTTTTAATTGCAAAGCATATATTGGGGCCGCAGATTACAAAATGATGTCTGCGATTGATGTACATTGTTCTACGGTTTTAACTTTGTTATGTCAGGTTTGACATCGTTTTTGACATTTCTACAAGAAACAACTCCATAATACGATTGACATCTGTTCACTGTAAACAACGACGTTAAGTCCAGCATTACATTTGAAGTTACTATCCATGCTGAAAATTAAACACGTGTTGTCAAATACAGTAGTTAAAATACTTGTCTTTTAGAGTCTATGCTTTCGACATCAGCTCCTCCAGTTGTGATTTGCAATGTTATAGGGGGCGATCCTTATATTCACATGGGCAAACGGCATGTTTGAGGATGTCTTACAATTGGCTTTCAGGTGGGCATCGTGGGCAGGACGGGAGCTGGTAAGTCCTCTCTGACTCTGTCCCTGTTCCGGCTGATAGAAGCTGCAGGAGGTGACATCAACATAGATGGTGTTGACATCAGTACACTCGGGCTGCATGACCTCAGGAACAAACTCACCATTCTACCTCAGGTAAGCCTGCATGACCTCAGGAACAAACTCGCCGTACTATCTCAGGTAAGCCTGCATGGCCTCAGGAATTAACTCACCACATTACCTCAGGCGAGCCTGTGGTCAATGCTTGTCATTAGTTTACATGATATAGTTCATAATAATATGAAGAAATGCTTTTAAAAACACTTGTAGGATCCATCATTGTTTGCCGGAAGTCTGCGAGGTAATATTGATCCCTTCAACCAGTATTCAGACAGTCAGATCTGGCGGGCACTGGAACAGGCTCATCTGAAGGCGTTTGTGGAGGTACTTCCTGATGGACTGGAACACGAGTGTAGCGAAGAAGGCGAAAATATGAGGTAAAAAATTTAACATTATTGTTACTTAACATTGTTCCTTTTCAAGCATTCATACTGTATATTTTACTGTGTGCTAAATCTATATATGTACTAGAAAAATGATTTCAGAAAGTATCAGAAACCTTTCTGGCATATTTCAGCGTTGGACAGCGGCAGCTCTTGTGTCTGGCCAGAGCTCTCCTGAAGAAGACCAGGATCCTAGTACTAGACGAGGCCACTGCAGCCGTTGACATGGAAACAGATGACCTGATTCAGCAGACAATTAGGTCAGAGTTCAATGACTGCACAGTGCTAACTATCGCCCACAGGCTCAACACAGTGATGGATTACGACAGGTATTTTTTCATGTTCTTCGTACATGGTATTAAAGAATATGAGTGTATAAGGTATATGTAAACCCATGTCAAAAAGATTTATTGGGGTAAATAATTCGTAAGATGTTACTATATGGTCGTCAGGATGGGCGACTTGGTCGACTGATTGCCCCGATGGCGAAGATGACTTTGTTGACTTTGTTCCAAACCGAATCAAGCTCGAATTATAGATTATTGCTTAGTGGGGAAAAAAAGAAGCACACGCAAACAACAGAAGAAATGAACGACCAAAACAACAGTACAAAAGAAATCACAGAAAGTCCCCAAAATAAGGTTCAACTGTTTTCAAATGAATTGGCAAAACATTTTTATTTCAGGATCCTTGTCCTCGACAACGGCTGTGTGTGTGAGTTTGACACGCCCTCCTCCCTGCTGCAACGTCCTGACAGCGTCTTCTACAACATGGCCAAAGCTGCAGGATTGGCAGGATGATACACAGTCAGTTTGGTTTTATATAGTTTATATTGATTATACAACTACAAAATTACTGGATGGTTTGTATGATACGCTTGTGTGCCATCATCCCTAACGATGTGGCTCTTTGGTCAACAAGACTGCCGGACCCAAACTGGTGTCTATGCTAGCCGCTGTGATACAGATAGCATACTGACGCAAAATGCAGCATACACTAACGTGAACTTGGACGTCCAATAATATCCAGGGCTTACAGCAAATATATACATTTTGTCGAAAATGCATAAATGCAACCATTATTTACCTGTTTACAAACAGCTGTATGCCTTTACCATGGCCCTTGGAGGGAATCTTCGTTGACCCAAAATACCTGGGCTATGCCAAGAAAGGTCCATTATACTTGTTGGGATGTCATCCCAGTTGGCGTGAGTTCAACAAACCGAAATATTAGTTTCGAATAGTCCTGAGTATGTTTCTGGGTTTGTTTTTTTTGAGGTTTGGGGGGAGTTCTTGTACCATTCCCGTCTATCCTTCTGTGCCAACCTGACACTTCATTAAATACTGTTCAAGTACCAATACGTCCAACACATTTCATGGGTCATAGAAAATGTATTTTTTAACTTCTTGACTGCTGCCGTGATCTTACACGAGAGACGAGGAAATCGAAGAACCCCTAACACAAGATTACGTGTGTATACGTCTTGTCCATACGCCTTTGGGTCAAAGACACTGAAAAGGCCAACCCAAATCATCTTAAACAGCCTTTTGGCCAGTTTTAACTTTAGCTTTGTGTCGATATTAGAGGGATAGAGAATTAGCGAGAGAACAAACGTAAACCGTAATGATTTTCCTCATTACTGAAGCTTTTTGGCGGCAAAGGGGTTTTCATACTATTACCTTATCCTTTCCAAATTAGTGTTGAGAATGTATTTTCAGCGATCCTTAGTCCTCACACAATGATATGTACCAATAATTTATGTGAGCAATAGTTTTTCTCTTTTCATTTCCATAGCTTTCAGTTCTGTTGTATTTTCTGTTGTTTAAGTTATGTTATGAGCAATAACAAACATACAGATGTTATTACTATTATTCCTTATTACATTTATATTCATTATTTACATTTAATATGAAATACAAGCTCTTAATATCATGATATTCTGATAATAGTTGTCTTACCTCACACATAAATGTCGTCTGCTAGATTCTATGTCACCTGAAAATCTAGTATTGGCTATTTGCCTAAGTCTGGTCCTCCGTATTATGATCCGATACCAGTGCTTCAAACAGTTCAAAATTCACATTGAGGCGTTTTGTAAGAATGGTTCGGTATGTTAAATGTCAATATGGTGTCATCAGTGTAATGATACTTTTCATGAATATTTAAACTTGTTGTAACTGAATCACGATGTTAAGAAAATACTCTAACTAAAATACATGTTAAAAGAGCCTAGAACAATATTCATGATATGAAGTAAAAACTATAGCTGAAGAAAAGCCCAACATGTTAACAAATGCCTATACCTGAATAAATATGAGAACGATTATTTCATTATATACTTTGTTAAATGCATACTGTTGTTGTTGTTGTTGTTGTTAGACACGGTTACCACATGTATAGTTGCATAACTATTTTCAGAGGGTCAGGGCAACATGTTAAAGCATGAAAGTTAATTTCACCTTAAGTTTACTAAAAGACATTATATTAAAGGCACTATATCAGACCACTCTTCTCTAAAATAAATCATACATTTATCTCAGTAATACTAACTATCAGCCCTCAGGGAAGCTACCATATAATTTATTCCAAAAGAATACGTATTTAGATTACAATATTGAATTTAAAAGTTCGAATGAATTAATGCAACGTTGCATTAATTCGATTGTCGGGCCCTCTACCGGCCGACCATTATTTCAAGCGAAGCCCATAGAGCCATGTCCCTGTGAGCGCTCTTTACGAATATCCTACGTACAACTACGTACAAACCAGTTCGGCTAACACCGACAACACTGCGTGCGACAGTTTTCAATGTACGGAGCAATTGTTTACATTCCATCTATGGCAAGTGTTCTCGTTTTGGAAGCTGTTCGCCTCTAAGTTTCAATTATCGATTTCAGGCAAGTCGTAAGGGATATTAAGACTTTTATTGCATCAGTAGGAAGCTAAAGTGAGTGCATATATATATATATATATTTATATTGCATAGGTAAATAAAAACAGAATGCCTTTTTCTCCAACATGTTATATATATATATACCCTGTAGATTTCTGCAGGAATGAAATTATTAATTTAACAGATCCCCGTTACTTTCCATGCACAGTCTAATGCGGGTAGGCATACTCCCTATCAGAGAGGTTAGAGTTTCATGGGGGATACTGTCCCAATATCGCACTACCTCTCTCTTCATGTCTTCAAGTTTGGTGAGTCCCTTTTGGTTGACATTCTCCTTCATCATTCCCCGAATGTTCTCAATGGGATTCAGATCCGGGCTGTAGCTGGGAAATGGGAGCAATGTCACGTTTTTCTCTTGGAACCACTGTTTAGAGTGCTTTGCCGTGTGTTTTGGGTCATTGTCCTGTTGCAAAATCCAGTCATTCCCATTAAAGACTCTTGCATTTGGAAGAAGAAAGTTCTCACGAATGTCTGTGTACCGTTCACTAGTCAAATTTCCCTCAAACACGCACAAAGGAGTTGTTCCGACACTCCACCCCACACATGAAACTTGGGACTGTATTTCGACCTGAGGTACGCCGTTGCTGAATCAGATTTTGTCCACATCTTAACATTATTAGGATACACCCAAACTGAACTTTCATCAGTGAAAAGTATGTTGCTACAGTCAAAGTTTTCATGGTCCTGACACCACAAAACACGGTTTTCCTTATGTCTGTCTTTCATGTCTGGAGTCGGCGTTCGCCTCTTTTTCTCCCATCCAAGATCAATTAAATTTCGTCTGATAGTGGATTTAGAAACGCTAGGTGAGCCTCTTTTTAGCATCTCATACCTGATGTTGGATATACTTGCTCTTTTCTTAGTTGAAGTCAAAATACCAAGTCTGACCCGATCTCCAAATTCCAATTTTCTGGTCCTCCTGGCTCCTTTTTTGTGCTCAATTCCAGCTCCACTCTCAATGTTCTTTTTAACCCTGTACACAGTTGATAGAGGAGTGTCTGCACTTTCTGACAGTGTATGGACATCAGTGATACCTCCATTGTACAAATTTTGATATATATGCTATAGGCCAAATTATTGTCGAAAATGTGTGACATCGTGCCCTTAAATCCTGGACTTTCTCATCGCCAACATGTTTTGAAGTTTTCGAAGCAAGGCATTTCGTCAACAACACGACCCAGGGTTCTTTCAAGACAGAACCAGGGAATGCAACACACTTGATGATGAAACCACGTCATGTTTGAGCTTATAAACTCAGTAACACCACATCTTGTTTCCCATGCAGATCTTTCTCATGCATTGTTGCTGGAAGACAAAGGTTTAGATCGCCCCATATTTTATGGTAACGGGTCGTTATCACTGAACTAGCGGACTTGGAGTGAGTGAGTTAGGATTTATCGGCAATATTGCAGCCATATCGTGACTAAAACGGACTTGGATGGGGTATCCCAGGTGACTGGTTGTATAGATGGTACGCTTGTACCTGTTGTGCGACCCACGGAGGACGAAGAAGCGGTAAGCAGGTCCATGCCGTAAACGTTCGAGTAGTCCGTGACGCAGGCCTGGGGCACATAGCAGCACAGGAAAGATAACCACATCACCGAACAAACGACCATATGTGAGACACTATAGTTGCAGTTTAAATTAATTAGTCGTATACAAATGAGAAATTTATGAAAATACACAAGGTTACACACCTTGTTTATTCCATTAATGACCTTGCCAACTTGACCAACTGTGCCACCGATTAATTTAACATTTCACTATGAGTCTATATGTATGGTATTGTGTGATGTTTAACGCCGCACTCAGCAAATAATCGAGTCTGACCCAGACAATGACCAACAGCATGTGCATCGATCTACGGAATACGGGATACGTCAACAAAATCTGCGAGTCTGACAACCCGATCCGGTAGTCGCCTCTTACGACAAGCTTGGATTGATGAAAGCCGGTTCTAACCCGGATCTTCACGCGTGTATTTAAGTATAATTACGATAAGATGTAGGTTTCCGCTATAAAATAGCACCATGCTTGAAGCGATGACTTTGTTGACACTGATGATGACACTGATCTGTTTCAGAAGCCTGCAAGAACACTCGTAACCCTACCTTCGTGACCAACTCGTGGTCGCACACTGTATCCATCGATTGGGGTACGAGTCTTCTTGCAGTTTACGGAAAGGGGCGACTTGTTACGAATGGTCTTCGTGTTATAATACGACAAACCAATCAGAATGCGTGGAAGGATTGAGGTACTTTGATAAAAAATCCCGAGTTCTTAAATCGGTTGTGGCAGCATGTGATTGTTTAAAAGATTGTGAAAAATATGTATCGTCAGTTGACACTACAAAGAACATAGCTAACAGAAATGTGTTGCGTAATGTGAAGCCTTTAATAAGGATAGGGTCATGAACAGTGGCAGATTCACATCCTTTACACAATATTTCCCATTGGGTGTTTTCCATGACGCGCCTGGTGCTTGCTTTGCGGATTGTACGTGCGCTTGCTGACAAGCTGTGCATTTCGCACAGTCTGGCGACCTATTTATTTTTCTAAGTTTGATGCATGTTTACACTCATTTTGATACACATTACGGGGAGATAATTCTTTCTAGTAATGTTTATATATAAAGCTACGAACTTCAAAACAATATAAATAACTAATCAACTTTAATCCTAAACACTGTGCTTACATTTCACGGGAATATATATGGCTGACGTTTCTGCGTATGTATTTTGAAATTGCACAGGAGAGTATGAGTGAGTGAGTTTAGTTTTACGCCGTACGATGACATGTTTCAACCAAACCACCCGATCCCCTTAGTCGCTCTCGACAAGCATGGGTT